ATTATTTTGATACCCAAACATCAGTAGATACAATCCTATTGACTTCTCACTATAATTCTGTGTTGGAATTTGTTGAACACTATTCATTCGTACCTGAGTGTAACCTCTAGTGTTCCTTAAAAAGGAATCTGATTTTAATAAAAATTGAGAACCAAGCAATAGTAAAATTATGGGTAGATTTATGTCCTATCCTGTTACTGCTTTTAAAAAAAACTTAGTGAAAACACAAACATATTAAAAAATAGAGGAAATTATATGAAGAGAGTTGTATGAAGCTGGATAAGTTGTATATCACCTGTGAGTTGCATACTCATGGCTGTTTTCTCTATGCCTCTCTCCCTACTCTTAGATTGGAAGCAAATTCAAAACATCATTTCAATTCATCCATAAATATTTCATTATGTATCTTTGAAAGAAAAGATTTTAAGAAACATAGCTGTAATATTATTTATATTTTCAAATAACTAGTGAGTTCAGATTTCCCTGTTTGTATTAAATTCTTTTTTATACTGTTTGTTGAAATAAGGATCCAGATAGTATCTATACATTGCAATTGGTTGATATATTTCAAGTGTCTTGATATATAGTTCTCCCTTCTTGTGTTCTCCCTTTCAATATATTTATTGAAGAAATTGAATTATTTATCTTGTAAAGCTGCCTCACAGTCTGGATTTTGCTGACTACATCCTAATGTTTATTATGTTTTTCTTTTGTCTATATTTTCTATAAACTGGTAATTAGATTTAAAGGATTTGACCAGATTTAAGTTTTAGTTTTCATCAAGAGCACCTAATAGGTGTGTATTTCAGTCAAGAAGCGTATATCTGGTTGTCTCTCTGGTTTTTTTTTTTTTTTTGGTACGTGCCCCTAGCAGGAACCAAACCCGGGACTCTCTGGTCCACAGGCCGATGCTCCAACCACTGAACCAAACCAGCCAGGGCAGTTGTCTCTCTTTTTATTATATTAGCAGCCATTTTGATGAGCATTGCCTAGATTTATCATCTCATTATGGGTTTCAAATCATGATATTCTGATTCTATATTTCTTTATTCATTTACTAACTGGAATATTTCCTTAAAGCAGTATTTCTACATAACAATTATTTGATAACTCTGAAGGACATTTCTTTTTTCTTTTATTTTTTTATCCTTACCCGAGGAAATTTTTTCCATTTTTGTTCAGGTAGAGTGGGAGGGAGAGAGAGGAACAGAGAGAGAGAGAGAGAAACATCGATGTGAAAGGGACACATCGAGTGGCTGCCACCCGCACAACCGACCAGGGCCGGGGACAAACTGCAACCGAGGTACGTGCCCTTAGCGGGAACCGAACCCTGGTCTCTCAGGACCGCAGGCCGACGCTCCAACCGCTGAGCCAAACCGGCCAGGGCTAAAGGACATTTCTTATAAGCATAAGCAGAATAAATTCTAGATTCTTTTTCCTTATTTAGAACTTTAAAAAACAATGATTTGAAAATCTAGCATCTTCCACAGGTGACTCGTGAGTTTTAAAAATATATTTTTATAAACACATGAATTTATATTTGAAGTATTTAAATTCTTTGCTGTTTTTATTTTTATAAATGTTCAAATTGTCTTATCTTTTGTAGGAACCTCCAATTCATTCTTGAGTCCTTTTGACATGATTGCATGGGTAGTCATTGATTGTTTTCTTACTTTGTGTTGTGACAAGATATTCATATATATTTTCTGCCCCAGACTTGTAATCTGCCATTTCTCTAAAGAGCTCTAGTTTCTTTTAGTAGGAAATGGTATTTAAAAATTACAATCTGGGTACCAGAGGTAATTTGTAGTGGGAAGAGCTAGAAAAGAATTTTCCCTTTATAAAGAATAAATCTGAACTTATATGCATGTATGCATAACCAATGGACATGGACAACAAAGCTGGAGAGGGGGAGGGGTGGGGATGGGGTGGGGGTGGGGGTAGGGATGGGGTGGGGGTGGGGAGGAGGGTGTCAATGGGGTATAAAAGGAGAAACATCTATAACAAAAAAAATTAAAAATTAAAAAAAAAAGAATAAATCTGAGTTTGTATTGATAGTTTCATTTAAATTCAGGCATATACAGTTTTTATTTTTTTCAGTCTTACTCATGTATCCTTTTGAATAGGCTGAAAACTGGGATTCCTAATGATGTCAACATAATCGCTCATTTCTTTTATCCTACAATATAAATAAAATGGTCTCAGAGCTAACAATATGATTACTGCACACATAGGATTTTTTTTCCTTAAGATATATTCTTTGTGGGATGCATGGATAAATTACTGTATTTTAAAGTCAGCTGAAATAATTCCTCTGTGAGTACATTTACCATTAACTCGATACATAGTTAAGTTCATTTATTTAATTTGGTTTTGATATATAAGGATTGATCTTTCAGGATGTAATATTGTCTTATAACTATGTTAAATAGTTATGTGGTTGCAAACACAAATTCATGAAACAAATGATATTCAGAGAAATTTAACTTCTATCCTGGTCCCCTTCTTCCCTGTCTACCTCTATAAGTCACCATTTAAAAAAGTTTTAGTTTATATTTTTTCATCCATTTATTTCCTCCCTTCATCCATCTATCCATCTATCCATCTCTCTATCTGTTCCTCATCTTGGAAAAGCATTAGCATATTGTACATACTTTTTCCACATTGCTGTTTTCAACTTACAGTATACCCTGGAGATCACCCTACAGTATGCATTTTCAATGAGGGTCAGAGATATCACCTCACTGGGGCAAAATTGGATCTTGAAGGGTGAAAAGGAAATATTGGTTATTACAGTGGTATGTGGCCATGGTACATAAACAGATATGCAGTATATCCGTGATAATAAAATTTCATGGGAGGGGTGGTGGGGTTGATTAGGAATAACAATATCTAAAAAGATTTCTTAGGGTGGCAATATTGAAAAGAGGTTGAGAAACTGCTTTGTAGCAGTATGCTGTATATTAATTCATACTCAATTCTTTTAAAGGTGTGTAGTGTCTGTTATGATATATTCAACTGGCCCCCATTGGTTAACTGTTGGGTGTTTCTATTTCTTTGCAGTTAATAACAGTGCTGCAATGAATGTGTGTTCTTTCGTATTTTTACCAACGTATCTTTGAGAAAGATTTCAAGAAATGAAATTCCTAGGTCAAAGGCTAATTGCCTGGGTAATTTTGCTAGACACTGCCAAATTCCCCTTATGGCAGTGTTTTAGTTTATACTAGTAGATATGTTCTAAATTTGTTTATTGTGAGATGTTGGTGCCATTTATGAGAACCTTATTAGTCTTCTAATTAGCTGTAAGAAATGTAATTTTCATATTGCAGAATGCAAATTTATATGGTATTTTACTCATGAGATTTTTCAAAATTATCATTATACTACTTACCATATGTCATTTACAAAAGAAGAACTATGGATCTGTCTAAAACAGTGGTTCTCAACCTTCCTAATGCCACAACCATTTAATACAGTTCCTCATGTTTGTGGTGACCCCCAACCATAAAATTATTTTTGTTGCTACTTCATAACTGTAATTTTGCTACTGTTATGTCTTAGGTGACCTCTGAGAAAGGGTCGTTCGACCCCCAAAGGGGTCGCAACCCACAGGTTGAGAACTGCTGGAAAAGGTCACGTGGTTGAAACTAATTTTTTTGTTAATGTGCTATATATCAGGGCTTAGTAAAGACAATTGCCAACATGAAGGGCTTGTTTTTCAAGTATATGTAATATGTGTATGTGTGTGTTTTTCTTAGCCCTGGCTGGTGTTGCTCAGTGGTTAGAGCATTGGCCCATGCACCGAAGGGTTACAGGTTTGATTCCTGGTCAAGGGCATGTTCCTGGGTTGCAGGTTCCATCCTCAGCCCTAGTCAGAGCACATACAGGAGGCAACCAGTTTATGTGTCTCTTTCACATCCATGTTCCTCCTCCCTGCCCTCCACTCTATCTGAAAATCACTGGAAAAAATATCCCCAGGTGACGATAAACAAAAACAAAAAAAATATTTGTTTTTATTTAATTATAAATGCTTACATTTAAGATTAAGTGTAAACATTTAAATACAAGTGTTTTTTAATTGTTCCCAAAGATAGAACTTTAAAAAAATTTTTTATCATGGGGTATAGACAGATTTTTCACTTGTCTATTTCATTTAATTTTTGGAAAACTTTGGTCCAACTTGATTACCTAGGTTTCTTCAACTCATTGTTTCTGTAAAGCTATTAGGTTTTGTAGCAAATACTCCTTTGTATATGCAGAGCAGGGACTACATGGGACCATTCTTTTCATTTGGGCAGTGCATGCTCTTTCTAAAGGTTCTAAATCTCTTTAGTAATATTTGCCTTCACTACCCCCACAACTCTACAAAGATTAGAGTCCTTCTCACTTTAATTCTAACTAGTATCTGCAAATATTAGAGGTAGATTAAAAAAAAATTTTATGATAAAAAGTTTCATGAATAGATTGTAGCTCAGTTTTGTTTTTTTTAGTCTTGTGTTCTAATGACTTTCAGTTTAATGACCTGGGGGATATTCGGATTACTCAAATTGATGATGATGGAGATTGAATTGAGTCGATCTCTCCTGATAGCCCTTCAGATACTTATATGCACTCAGAACAGGACCAGGCACAAAGTAGGTGCTTGTATTTGTTGAATAGATGAATGGCTTGGGAGGTACTGGCATTGATATTTCTTAAATGGTTAATGAAGAAAGGACTCAGAATATCTGAATATTTTATCTGTAAAAGAAGACAAAAAATTAGTCATGAAATTTCTAGAACCAGGTTTCCTAAAACACATTTAACTGGGAGTTAAAGAGAAAAATAAAATTTGGGAGGTGACATGAAACTATTTGTTAAGTTAAAGGACTCCATTTTACTAAAACATGACATTATTGTACAAGTACTGCCAATTAGAAAAGTTTTGCCTACTAGTTCCCTTAAACATAGGGTGAATTTGGATTTTTAATGACTAGGAACATTTTCTTTTTCCTTCATAGGCATTTGGGATCACAGCTTTGTGAATTAGAAAAACTGATAGATAAAATGATGATTGCAGAATTTTCTACTTATTGTCACAATGACTTAAATAGACCACTGGAAGACGACTGTCAAATTTTAGAAGAGGTATGTATTTTGAGCTATGAAATGAAATTGATGCCATTACTTAGTGCTAATTTCTAACATTCTTAGTTTAAAACACATTCTTCTCAGATTATAGTGAACAAAATTACATAAATTTCAAGCTCTGTTTGACCTATAAAATCCTTTACTGTCTAGCTTTAGCATGTACCGTAATTGTTTATTATCCTGTGAAATTAGAGACTAAAATAATTTTATAGCTTAATTAGAAATTAGAGTTAAAATTAGGTCTTTATATAGCATACAAACCAAGTTTAAAATATAGATATAGGATAAATTAACATATATCCATGTGTACACATGTCTTGGAGTATGTCTCTTAAAAAAAAGTGATCATTCTTGCCCTGGACAATTTGGCTCAGCTGTTAGAGTGTCAGCGCACGATGAGTTCGAACTGGGTTCGATTTTCTGTTAAGGTCTTGTACCTAGGTTGCAGGTTCAATTCCCGGCCCCAGTTGGGGTCATGCAGGACGCAACCAATTGATGTGTCACTCTCACATGGATGTTTCTCTTTCGGTCTCCCTCCCTCCCTTCCCCTCTATCTAAAAACCAATGGAAAAATATTCTCTGCTGAGGATTAACACCAAAAAAGTGATCATTTTTATATGGTAACTCATCAGTCATTCATCAGTCATTCACATTCACTGAACACCTACTATGAACATGTTTATGCACATGCATATACAAATATATCATATCCAGGCTTTACTTATATGGTAACTTCTCATTGCTAATTACTGCCAAGAACTGGTAAAGAATCCAAAACGCCCTGATAGCAGTCAAAGTAGGTAGGAGATATTTGTTCCTGTTAGCATTGAATTCCCTACAGATAGTCCAGATCATCATTCCAGTCTTCTAGACCACTAATTAAAAAGCACATGGATCATGGGGTATTATTGATCATCAGGGTTTAAGAAGGATACTTTTTAACTACTTGAAACTAGGCCAGAATATACTCTTGTATTGTTTTGCCCCCAAACCAGCTTCATTTGATCCACTCTTGTAGAATAGTATTTACTTGTTTTAGAACCCTGACTCCAAAAATCTGATAATGAGATTGCCATGGAAGGGTTTTTTTTAGGCTTCTAGAAAATACCATATGCAGGATAGAGTTCCGAGCATCAAAAAATAAAACCCTTAATGTTTAATATTTCTACCTATGAGATTATTTGATATTTAAAGTGTGAAGTTACCTAATCTTTTTTTATTTTGATAGGAAAGACTAGTATCTCTTCTATTTGGACTTTTAAAACAAAGAAAACTTAATTTTTTAGAAATCTATAGTGAAGAAATGATTATTACTGCAAAGAATATCATTAAACAGGTAATTATACATTTTTTTGATATATTTTAGTCTAGAATCTTTTGTGAAGTTTATTTTTACATGATCCTAGAAATAATATTTATAGTATAATAGTGCTATTTTTTAATTTGTTTAACAATTGAAAATGTAGAAAAGTTGAAGAAAAACATAGCCCTATAAGCCAAAGGGTTATCATTTAAGAATATTTCTAAGTATAAAGTGTTACTGATGTTTTTATTGTTGCTGTCATACTGTATATATTATTTTGATTTGTACATATATTTCAGTTAGAAACATAAGCACTTTCTCATTATATTCGCCTTCAGAAACATCATTTTTAGTGGTTGTATTAAATTCCATCAATATTATGTTAAACCTACTTAACCTTTTCTTTATGCTGCATGTTTAGGTTGTTTTCAGTTTGGTACTGTAAAGAACACTGTGACAAATGTCTGTGGTATAACGTTTTGTTTGGTTGGTTTTACATAAGACTATTTCCTTATAACTGATTTTCGAAAGTGGAATTATTGGTCAAAGAGTGACCAATTTTTACATTGTTAAAAATTACCAATATATACTGTTACCAGCAGTAGATAAATATTCATTTCATCTTACCCTGATCTCTAAGAAATCATAATTGTAAATTGAAATCCGTGTGTTTTTTTAGTCTTCCCTGATCTTTGATTTGACTTTTTTAACTCAGATAAATCTTAGTCACTGAACTTTGTTTTTTTATTTATGAAAAAGAACAATTTAAAATGTATTTACTTGGCTTATTTGATCATCATCATTAAGTTGAATGTACATTACTGAGTTTTTAATGTTTAAATAAAACCAAATAAAAAGTTACCATCACCCCATCTTTCAAACGCTGACAGAAACACTATTAAAATTGTTAAAACCACTTTCAAAAATTGTTGGCAATATCTACTAGTGCTAAATATACACTTATATTATGACTCAGCTGTTCTACTCCAAAGTATTACCTGATAGAAATGCATACATAAGCTCACCGAAGACACAAGAATTTCATTGCAGCATTATTTATATTAAAAAACTAGAACAAAATTTTGTCATCAATAGAAAAGATAAATAGAATTGTGGTATATTTATACAGTTGAATACTATATACCAATAAGAATGAATAAATTGACTTCCAGTCAAGATGGCGGCGTAGGTAAACGCGGTATCACGTCCTCTCACAGCCACATCAAAGTTACAACTAAACTACAGAACAACCATCATTCAAAACTGCCCGAAATCAAGCTGAATGGAAGTCCTACAACTACGGATTTAAAGCAGCAGCCACATCAAGACTGGTAGGAAGGGCGGAGGCTGACAGGCTGCTCCCACACTCACGTGTGTCGGATAAAAATCAGGAGGGACACTTCGGCTGGGAAGGTCCTCCCTGAGGACTGAGGGGTCCCCGTCCCACACCAGACACCCCGCTCAGGGTTCCATTGCCAGGAAGAGAATCCCCATCACTTCTGGGTGGAAAAACCAGCGGGAACTGAGGCTCAGGGAAGCTGATGTGGCTGGAGCCCAAGGCAGCTCCTTAAAGGGCCCATGCACGGACTTATCAGACTCTCTCCCTCTAAGCTTGGAGGGGAGGCAGCACGAGGGGCACACAGGGAAGAACTGAGCTATTTGGCATTGGAGTGAGGGCTGGAGAGGGGGCTTTCTCCGGGACAAACGTGCTGTCAGAGGCCTTTGTTCCTTTGGTGAGCCCTTCTCTGGGGCGGCAGACATCCGCCATATCTGTGACTCCAGCAACCTGGCTCACACTGGTAGCCCCGCCCTGGTGACTCCCTGAGGCCCCGCCCCACCCACCTTTCAGGCCCACCCAAGCTGTTGCCAGTTGCTTAACCATAGGATTGGCCTGTATTGGATCCTGCTTCAGGTTTTTCCTAAATTCTTTCAAACAAGCAGCATCTGGTCTCAGATAGCCCCATACCTCTCATTAAGTAATACACAGAAACAAACATAGGCAGCCAAAATGAGGAGACAAAGAAACAGGTCCCAAATGAAAGAACAGAACAAAACCCCAAGAAAAGAACTAAGCAAAATGGAGATAAGCAACCTAACAGATGCTGAGTTCAAAATACTGCTTATAAGGATGCTCAGTGAACTTAGTGAGGGCCTCAAGAGCATTAAAAAGGACCAGTTAGAAATGATGGATGCACAGTCAGAAATGAAGGAGGCATTAACTGAAATAAAGAATAATTATACAGCCCTGGCCAGTTTGGCTCAGCGGTTAGAGCGTCAGCCTGCGGTCCGGAGAGACCCGGGTTCGGTTCCCGCTAAGGGCATGTACTTCGGTTGCGGTTTGTCCCCGGCCCTGGTTGGTCGTGCGGGTGGCAGCCACTCGATGTGTCCCTTCATGTCGATGTTTCTCTCTCTCTCTCTCCCTTCCTTTCTCTCCCTCCCACTCTATCTGTACAAAAAATGGAAAAATATCCTCGGGTGAGGATTAAAAAAAAAAAAAGAATAATTATACAGATTCAGTAGTAGAGTACGTAAATCCAAGAAGCAAACCAATGATTTGGAATATAAGGAAGCAAAAAACGCCCAATCAGAACAGCAGAAAGAAAAAAGAATCCAAAAAAATGAGGATAGTGTAAGGAGCCTCTGGGACAACTTCAAGCGTGCCAGCATTCACATCTTGGGGGTGCCAGAAGGAGAAGAGCGAGAACAAGAAATTGAAAACCTGTTCAAAACAATAATGGCAGAAAACTTCCCTAACTTGGTGAAGGAAACAGACATACAAGTCCAGGAAGCACAGAGAGTCCCAAACAAGATGAACCCCAAGAGGCCCACACCAAGACACATCATCATCAAAATGCAAAAGTTCAAGACAAAGAGAGAATCTTAAAAGCAGCAAGAGAAAGGCAGCTAGTTACCTACAAGGGAGTTCCCATAAGGCTGTCAGCTGATTTCTCAAAAGAAACTTTGCAGGCCAGAAGGGAGTGGCAAGAAATATTCAGAGTGATGAAAAGCAAGAACCTTACAACCAAGATTACTCTATCCTGCAAAGCTGTCATTTAGAATCAATGGCCATATAAAGAGTTTCCCAGACAAGAAAAAGTTAAAGGAGTTCATCACCACCAACCATTATTATATGAAATGATGAAGGGTCTTTTTGAAGAAAAAGATAAACTATATGAGCAAACAAAATGGCAATGAATACATATCTATCAACAATGGAATCTACAAACAAAATGAACAGGTAGAACAGAAACATTCTCATAGATACAGAAAACATTTTGTTGGTTGCCAGATGGGAGGGGGGTTGGGGGAATGGGTGAAAAAGGTGAAGGGATTAAGAAGTACAAATTCATTGCCAGACTGACAAACCTCAAAGGGAAAGGGGTTGGGGGATGGGAAGAAATAAACCAAAGAAGTTATATTTATAACCAATGTACACAGACAATAGTGTGGGAAAAGGCGGGAGGGAGGAGGGTGTGGGGAGGAGGGGGTTGATGGGGTAAAATGAGGAACATCTGTAATACATTCAACAATAAAGATTTTTTTAAAAAAGCAAATGTATATGCAAAAAAAAAAAAAAAAAAGAATGAATAAATTATGTAGAACAATGGATGAATATCACATACATAATGTGGAGCCAAAGAAACCAGACACTAATGAATATACTCTGTATGATTCCACTTATATGAATTTCATGCATCGGCAAAATTAACCTGTTGTTTTAGAAATCAGGATAATAGTGACTTTTGGGAGGAAGTAGTTACTAGGCTTATTGGCAGAGTGTTTAGTTTCATGATATGAGTTCTGGTTACACAGGTATATTTCTTTTTTTTTTAATCCTCACCCGAGGACATTTTCTTTTTTTTTTTGCATTTATCTTGAGGGAGAGAGGGAGGAAGAGAAAGAGCAAGAGAGAGAGAGAGAAAGAAACATTGACGTGAGAGAGACTCATCAAGTAGTTACCACCTACACGACCCCAACCGGGTTCGCGGGCAAACTGCAACCGAGGTACACCCCTTAGTGGGAACTGAACCCGGGCCTCTCTGGTCCATGGGCTAATGCTCTAACCACTGAGCCAAACTGGCCAGGGCACAGGTGTATTTCATTGTGAAAAATTATTGAACTATTGACATAATTTGTACATTTTCTGTATGCATATTATACTTTTAAACAATTTCTTTTAAACTGCTGTTTTAATTCCCAGACTTTTCCTGAAGTCTAAGCATTTTTTTCAACTTGAAACTGTTGCATATATTACAAGGAAATATAACTTCCAAAATAAATTTCTTTTGGAATTAAAATTTATTAGACTATGTCTAGTTGGTATACAACATTTTATTGGTTATATTAATTTCAACATTTTTATACCTTACAATGTGATCACCCCACTAATTAGAATAATCATCTGTCCCCATGCAAACTTATAGTATTATATACTGTATGCCTCTTCCCCTTTTCACTCCTCTATTAACCCCCTCCCTTCTGGTATCATTCCTTTGGTCTCTGTTTCTGTGAGTTTATTTTTGTTTTGTTTGTTCATTTGTTATTTGGGTGTTGTTTTTTTTTAGATTCCATAGGTGAAACCATATGGTATTTGTCTTATTTCACTTAGCATAATGCCCTGTAGATTCATCCGTGTTCTCGCAAATGACAAGATTTCATTCTTTTTTATTGCTGTATAATATGCCATTGTGTGTGTGTATGTGTGTGTTTATATCACATCTTCTATAGTCATTCATTTTTTGATATTTTTGATTAACAAAATTGTCAACAAAATACTAGCAAACTGAATTCAACAGTACATTAGAAAGATTATACAACATGATCAAGTGGGATTTATACCAGGGATGCAAGTGCAGTTCAACATCCAAAAAACAGTGTGATTCATCACATTAACAAAACTAAGGATAAAAATCCTGTGATTATGTCAGTAGATGATAAAATTTGAAAAATTCATTTGACAATTTTACATCCATTTATAGTAAAAACATTCAACAAAGTGGGTATAGAAGGAACTATCTCAACTTGTTAAATGAAGGTTGTATATGACAAGCCCACCACTAACATTATACTCAGTGGTGAAAAGATAAAAGCTTTGCCTCTAAGATCAGGAACAAGACAAGGATGCCAACTCTCACCACTATTATTCAACATAGTACTGGAAACCTTAGCCACAGCAATCAGACAAGAAAAAAAGGAGTAAAAGGCACCTAAATCAGAAAGGAAGAAGTAAAACTGTCACTATTTGCAGGTGACATGATACTATATATAGAAAACCCTAGAGAATCAACCAAAAAGTAATAGAATTAATAAAAGCATTCAGTAAAGTAACAGGATACCAAATCAATATACAGAATTTTGTCACATTTTATTTAAGATTTTAATATGGGGCTTATATCTTATTCCTAAGTATTATAATTCTGTGTTCTTTTATTTTTTGAACAGTTTTAAATAATAGAGGATTTTAATTAATGCAATTCAAGCTCTACTGGAATAATTATTTAATAGGGTAAAGGTAATGCTGAAGTGTTTTTAAACATCTTGAGGCATGTATAACAGACACAAGGGAAGTGGTAAGATGATTATCAGAGTCATTGAGGCCCTTTTAATTTAAGTTAATTTTTAAATGTATTTTCAAAATAACACTTAAAAATATTTATTTTACTTTCTAGCCCATTGAGGCCCTTTTAAATATACGATTGAACATCTAGTACTTAGAATTTACATTAATCACATTTTTTTCTTAAATTTTACAGTGTGTGATTAATAAAGTTTCACAAGTAGAAGAACTAGACACAGATGCTGTTACGAAGTAAGTATAAATATCAGTCACAGAACAGCTGACACAGACAAGGAAGAGAGTAGTTAATAGAATTCAGAAGAAAAAAGAAATATGTATAGTGGTTGAAAAAAAAAACATGCAGTAGTTGAAATTAATGTTCACTGGAGGGAGGCAGTTATCTGGAAGCAACCCCTCAGGGAGGGGAGATGGAATTACAATCACCTTTCCTCCTTTTGATCTTTTTTTTTTTTTTAATTGATTTTCTTTTCTTTTAGAGAGTGAGGGAGAAAGATGAAGGGAAAAAGAGAGAGAGAAACAATATGAAAGTGAAACATCCATCTGCTTCCTCCTACATGCCCCCTTCTGGGGATTGAGCCCCCAACCCAGGCACATGCCCTGACCAGTAATTGAACCAGCAACCTTTTGGTACACAGAACGACGCCCAACTAACAGCCATACCAACCAGGGCTCCTCCTTCCAGTCTTTTTAAGAGTTGTTCTTTGGCCAAGCCCAGCAAGTCAGCCTCCCAGTGCAGAAAGAGAGTAGAGATGATATACAATGTAGATATGGAGGGGGGAAGTTGAAGATAATTCATTTCAGAGGATTATGAGTATTAAATTATTTGGCCAAATAATTAAAATTCAGCTTCTAAATGGCTTTGAGAAGTTTGAGTACATAATTTTGAATTGCCCATGTCTATAACTTTTTGTTTTCACTCTTTTTAAAAAAAATTTATTTTCTTTATTGATTTTTGGAGAGGGAGAAGGAGATAGAAACATCAATGAGAGAGAATATCGACTGGCCACCTCCCGCATGCCCCCTGCTGGGGATTTGGCCCACAACCTGGGCATATGCCCCGATCAGGAACTAAACCAGTGACCTCTTGGTGCATGGGTCTACACTCAACCACTGAACCACACCGGCAGGGTGTTTTCACTCTTTTATTTTGAGAATAGCGATAAATATTTTATGACTATGGAATTCTCATTCATATAGATATGTAAACTATTTACTGGCCTAAAATGCGAATAGCAATATGGATAGCTGTGAAACTTCTCTAGGTCAGATTCATAGAATGAGGATGTGGAGTTTCAATTTCCACACTATTTCCTAGTGAAAACTCAGTTTCAGAGTTAGTTGAAGCAACCCTAATAATGTAGTAATCACTGGTACAGTAGTTGTAAAACCTAAGTTATTGGGACTCTGTTAAAAGCCCTAATAGATATGGAGAGTCAGTCATATATATATATATATATATATATATATATATATATATATATATATATATATATTTTTTTTTTTTATTTAATCCTCACCCGAGGACATTTTTCGATATTTTGTTCAGATAGAGTGAGAGGGAGAGAGAGAGAGAGAAACATCGACGTGAAAGCGACACATCGAGTGGTTGCCACCCACATGACCCAACCAGGGCTGGGGACAAACTGCAACCAAGGTACGTGCCCTTAGCGGGAACCGAACCCGGGTCTCTCCGGACCGCAGGCCGACGCTCTAACCGCTGAGCCAAACCGGCCAGGGCAGTCATATATATTTTTAAATATGTTTTTATTGATTTTAGAGAGAGAGGAAGGGGGAGAGAGAGAGAAACATCGATGAGGGAGAAACATCAATCGGCTGCCTCCTGCACATTCCCTACTGGGGATCAAGCCTGTAACCTGGACCTGAAATAGAACCTGCAGCCACTTGGTGCATGGAATGATGCTCCATCCACTGAGCCACACTGGCTGGGTGAGCCAGTTATTTTTAATTTTTTTCTTCCCTAGGGAATTTTTTCAGATAGAGAACTTCCTGTATCTAAAGTATAGGAATATCTTCAGAAAATAAACTCCTAGCTGCAGCAGCATTCATTTAAAATTTAGAGTAATGTCACTGTAGTACTATAAAATATTCTAATGGAACTATTTAGCATTATTTTTTATCTTGATGTTATCGATTGATGTCAGCTATAAAAATATTGGCTGTACTATTATATATTATACTAATATGATAGATAATAATTGCCCAGCTGGTGTGGCTCAGTGGATTGAGCGTCATCCCATAGACTGAAAGGTCCCAGTTTGATTCCAGATCAGGGCACATGCCAGGGTTTCGGGTTTGATCCCCAGTATGGGGCATGCAGGAGGCAGTCGATTGATGTTTCTCTCTCACATCGATGTTTCTATGTCTCTCTCTCTTCTCTCTCTAAAAAATCAATAAAACATGTTTAAAAATATTAGTATAGCCTGGCCGGTGTTGTTCAGTGGTTGAGCGTCGACCCATGGACTAAGAGCTCCTGGTTCGATTCCCGGTCAGGGCATGTGCCAAGGTGTGGGCCCGATCCCTAGTGAGGGGCATGCAGGAGGTGGCTGATCGATGCTGTCTCTCATTGATGTTTCTATCTCTCTCTCCCTCTCCCTTCCTCTTTCTAAAAAAATGAATAAAGAAAAAATTTTTTTAAAAAATTAGTATATATTACATCTGGTATATGTTACATATATATGTATACTAATATGATACTGGCTCATACTTACATAGCACTTTTTTATGCACCATGAATTGTTCTGTTTACTTCTTATTAAGTTATTTAATATTCATAGCAACCATATAAGGTAAGTTCTGTTACTTTCCACATGTTAAGGTGAGAAAATTAGAGCAGAGAGGGGCTAAGTCACTTATCTGGAGTCATAAAACTAGTAAATGGCAGGGCCGGAACTTGAACCAAGACAGTGTGGCCCAAGAGTTCATGCCCCTAGCCACCATGCCATATATGGAAAATTACTTTGAATTTGTAATGAGAGAAGTAGGTTATTAAGTTTATTAAGGGAGATGTTAGTTCCTACTTTATTTATTTCAGAATAAATCTTCTCTACCTTAAACCAAAATTGGTTTATTTCTCTGTGGCTTTTCATCCAATGGTCATAAATCATGCTCACATGGAATTACTATGTAAGATTCATAAGTCAGTACACTTGACTAGATTAGTCTTACAGACATTTGAACAGGGAGGTACTGTTTGGTAATTGACTTCAACTCAATTTTATGATATTAATTAGGTGTCTAGATAAAATTGTATAATTATTCTTTTACCAGATAGTATTTAGTTTCCTTTAATTTGGCAGTTTATTTCATACATCATTTGGTCCAAAGATAATCATTATTTTTGTTTGAATTTTGTTTTTTCTAGGCTTGCAGATCAGATGAGAATGTTGAATTTTCCTCAATGGTTTGATCTGCTAAAGGATATTTTCTCTAAGTTTACAGTTTTTCTACAAAGAGTTAAGGTAAGCTTATGTGATTATCATTTTATCCAGAATATCTCTAAAATTAAGTCAACTTTCTAGATTTATCAATATATGTAGGATCAAACTAGAAGAAAACAATTCCTTTGTTTTTGTAATTTTTCTAAGAGACTTGGATTTAAATAAGATGTGAAGTGTTTCAGAGTATTTTGGTACCTTTTATAATTTGGATGATTTATTTTATATTAAAAAGAAACATTTTTGTTAGCATTAAATATTGTACAATAATATTTTCTCTTATGATTTTGTGATGCTTAAATCTCTCTAAATTATCTAGAGGTCCAATGTTGTGAAACATTAAAAAATCTGTCCTAAACCACTTATATTTTCTAGAGCTTTAATGTTGATAATAATGGTATTTTAAAACATATACTCATATTTAAATTGCTTACTAATATTCTTTATTGCAGGTTTTTATTTCATTTTTCAATCTGGGATCCAAGTAAGGATCATGTATTACATTTAATTGCTTTGCCTCATTAGTCAAACCACTTTTTTTTATCTTTACCTAAGGACATTTTTGCATTCATCATCAGAGCAAGAGGGAGAGAGGGAGGAAGAGAGAGAGAGAAACAATGATGTGAGAGAGACACATCAACAGGCTGCCACCCACAAACTGCAACCAAGGGACGTACTCTTAATGGGAACCTAACCCAGGTCTCTCAGGACTGCAGGCCCATGCTCTAACTGCTAAGCCGAACTGGCCAGGGCCACTTTTATTCCACTAAATATAAGGAAAAGAACACATACCACACAGCATTTTTCAGAAGAAAATATGTCACAGACTCTAATACATATTGATTGGGATTGTGTTTTAATGAGAGAGAGTCATTAGGAATTACTGAGTATAATAGGCTATTTGTGAAAGTAGATAGTTTTTGAATTATCAGATGTCAGTATTGTTTTATATGTGCTAGTTAACATTCCTGGCATCTCCTAAGTATCATGTTAAAATGGTCTTGGGGACTTTGGAACTTATCTATGACATGACTTTTCATTATTGACATTTGAGTAATGCTAAGTCACATGCATAAGCTCTCTAATCAGAGTAGGAAAAGTTTTGTAAAGTGTTATTCACTATACTTAATTTAGACTCCTACCAAATGTTGATCCTACCCATTGACAGTGAGAGATAGCAAACCTGTATCTGTGGATTGTTCAATAACTAGGTCATGTTTTCACTTATCCTTGTATTCCCACCATGATGTCATCACATACACTTTTGTTATTTCATGTCTGGATATAGAGAACTCCCACATCGCATAGAATTGGCCAACTTTTTGCCAGTAATTTTTAAATTTCACTTTTAGGCTCTATACCAATTAAACTAAGTCAAAGTATTATAGTGTCTCTCCCTCAGCTCCCCTTCACAGTTTTGCTTTCCATGGTTTCAGTTACCAATGGTTTATCCCACCTGGGGTGTGAAGCATTCCTTGTTTAGCAGATCCATGCTGTATATGCTCCCCACTCATTAGTCATTTAGTAGCCATCTTGGTTATCAGATTGACTGTTGCACTATTGCAGTGCTATGTTCAAGTAACTTATTTTACTAAATAATGGCCCAAAAGCACAGTAGTAGTGATGCTGGCAATTTGGTAGTGCCAAAGAAAAAACATGAAGTGCTTCTTTTAAGTGAAAAGCTTCAAGCCATAGTGTCTTCAACAATTAAGAGGACTTACTAGCTTGTATAATTGAAAAATATCCAGAGGTACGTCAGCCTTTAGGTTTTTGATAGAAAAGTTGATGATGTTATCTAGTCTTGGTTTTGTTTTTCTGCAATTTCTCTCTGTTTGTCTTATATATGTATCTTCTTGAGCTTTAAGTTCAGGCCATCCATGATGGTTCCACGTGCTGATTGCAGTAACTTAGACCCTTATCCTGTCTTTGAAGACCTGAAGTTGAAATCTTCTTCCCTAGAACCATGTAGATCTTGAAAAAGAAATCAAGAGTTTTGAGAAAGGGGGTAACAAATTATGAGAATGCAACTATGAATATTAGAGTAGGCAAGTAGCTCCTTATTTCCTAATAGTTCATTAAGACTTAATTTACATAAACTTACTCTTAATTCATCTAGCCTTCAATTTTTATTAAGAACCTCTTATGTTCCTGGCACTATTCTAAGCATTAGGATTACAGCATCTCAGAACTAACATTCTAATAGAGACCTAGAATTAAAAAGTTACAAAGATAGCCCTGGCCAGCTTGGCTCCATGGTTAGAGCAACGGTCCGAAGACTGAAGATCTCAGGGTTGATTTCTGGTGAAGGGCACGTACCTGGGTTGCAGATTTGATCCCTGGCCCTGGTTGGGGTTGTGTGGGTGGCAACTAATCAATATGTCTCTCTCATATCAATATTTCTCTCTCTCTAACCTCCACTCCACTTTGTCTAAAAAAATTAATGGAAAAATATTCTCAACTGAGGATTAACAATAACAACAAAAAGTTAAAAAAATAATAACTTTTTAAAAACTGGATCATGGGATAAAGTTTCTGGGAGAAGAGTCAGAGAAGGCCTCTTTGAAGAAGTAACTGCAGGAAACTGAATGATGAGAGGAAATGCTTATGCAGAGATCAAGGTGAAGAGCATTCCAAGCAGAGGAAACAAAGGGCACTGAGATGGGAACAATAGAATTTAGAAGAGTAAAAAGAGAATCAGAATGTTTTCAGAGTGGTGAATGAATTAAAAAAGTCATGAAGTGAGGAGAGGGAGATGGATATAAGTGTAAGGCATGGTAAGAAATACAGATTTTTCTTTCTTTTTAAATGTTTTTATTGATTTTTTTTTTTTAGAGAAAGGAGGGAGAGGGAGAGATAGAAACATCTATCAGCTGCCTCCTACAGGCCCCCTACTGGGGATCGAGCCTGCAACCTGGGCACATGCTTACTGGGAATCCAACTGATGACCTCTTTCTTGGTGCATATGACGATGCTCAGTCGACTGAGCCTCACCAGCCAGGCCATAATTTTTTTTGTTTGTTTTAAGCAAGCTCATTAATGAAGATGATTCTCTGACAGGCAAATTATGTTTAGTGTAATCTATCTAAAAGGTTTGAGAAATCTGCAGTATTTTTAGAGAAATTTTTATTTATTAAATCAATTAAGCCCTGGCCAGTTTGGCTCAGCAGTTAGAGCGTTGGCCGGCGGACCAGAGAGGCCCGGGTTCAGTTACCGCTAAGGGCACGTACCTCAGTTGCAGTTTGTCCCTGGCCCTGGTTGGGGTCGTGTGGGTGGCAGCCAGTCAGTGTGTCTTCTCACATCGATGTTTCTCTCTCTCTCTTCACCCCTCTCTCCCTTCTGCTCTATCTAAAGAAATGCAAAAATGTCCTTAGGCAAGGATTAAAAAAAAATCAATTAAAATACAGAATTTTATTCCTAAGCTTTAGGGAACCCATTTCTCTTGAGCAGTTCTTTTTCACAAGTCACCTTTACAGTGTAATAAATTAAAAAATTGGTAGAAATTCTTACATGCATAACTTTGATCATTTATAAGATGTTCAAAATTATATACACAGAATTCGCTTTTGGGAACTTTAGGTGCAAGATATTTTAGATGCTTTAAAAACGTATCCTGTTTTCTTGTAGGCAACATTAAATATCATTCACAGTGTTGTTCTCTCAGTTCTTGACAAAAACCAAAGAACTAGAGAATTGGAGGAGGTTTCACAACAGAAGAATGCTGCAAAAGATAATTCACTGGACACAGAGGTGGCTTATTTAATCCACGAAGGCATATTTATAAGTGATGCATTCAGTGAGAATGAATTAACACCTATAGCAATTGACACTACCTCTCAAAGAAATGCATCTCCAAATAGTGAGCCCTGCAGCAGTGATTCAGTATCTGAACCAGAATGTACTACTGATTCTTCATCCAGCAAAGAGCAGACATCATCATCTGCTACTCCAGGAGGTGTGGACATTATGTGAGTATGGTAACTGCTGTCAACTTAACAAGATTTTGAATCATCTTATTATTCAGTTTATTGGAAAACCTTGTAAACTTTGGTCTTGGAATTTAATGTAACAAAAGTAAATTAATTTTATGAAACATATATCTTTTTGGAAATGTATGGAAGGTAGTAAGGAGGGGAACGTTGGAAGTAATTGAGAACTGCAGAATTTTAAGGCTAGAAAGGAACCATTTAATTAAATGCCCTCATTTCACGTTTAGATGACTTATTTAAAATCACTATTGGCAGAACTTGTCCTGAAACTGAGGTCAGTATTACTTTGGGTTTATGGTTATTTTTCTTCCTTCTAATATGTTACCTTTGTATTTTGTATATAGTAAAGATCTGTTTGATTTATAATTTTTTATTTTTCAAAGACACAAATTTCCAAGTGGATCACACTATCTTTTTAAACATTATTTTTTTAAACTTTTTATTTTGAAATAATCTCAAATTTATAGAAAAGTTGCCAGAAGAGTACAAAACTCTCATATATCCTTCACCTTGATTCCCCAGTTGTTAACAGTTTACCATATTGTGCTATTTTACTGGCCCTTCCTTTTTCTCACTGCTCCCTTCCTCTCTTTCCTTCTTTGTCTCTCATGTATGTATGTATGTATGTGTGTATATATATATATATATATATATATTACCTGAGGACATTTTTGATATTTTGATATTTTGTTCAGATAGAGTGTGAGGAAGAGAGAGAGAGAGAAACATCGATGTAAAAGGGACACATCGAGTGGCTGCCACCCACACGCCTTGACCCAACCAAGGCCGGGGACAAACTGCAACCGAGGTATGTGCCCCTAGTAGGAACCGAACCCGGGTCTCTCTAGACCGCAGGCCAATGCTCTAACTGCTGAGCCAAACCGGCCAGGGCTCATGTTAATATTTTTTCTGAATCATTTGACAATAGGTTGCAGACTTGATGTCCCTTTTTTCCCCAATATTTAAGTGTATATTTCCTAAATACAGTAACACTGCCTTAAATATCAATTAAAATCAAGAAAACATTGATACATTATTACCATCTAATTCACAAACTGCATTCAGAATTCACCAGTTGTCCCAATCTGTATAGAAAGAATGAAAACAGCCCTGGCCGGTTTGGCTCAGCGGTTGGAGCATCTGCCTGTGGACCATAGAGTCCCGGGTTCAGTTCCCGCTAAGCCCTAGTGGCTAGGGGCACCTACCAGAAAAAAAAGAAAAAAAGAAAGAAAAACAAATAAAGAATGAAAACAAAACAAAGCCAATAAAGTTTTTCTGGTCCAAGAATATAGTTTGGATTGAATTATTGTTAATAATAATAAGAGCTTAGTACTTCTGTTCATTTTCACATAAGTCAACTTATGGTGCAGGAGCTTAAAAAAGGTTGCATTTACAGCATAAAGTCAGCTATATCACCTCCATTCCCCACCAAAAAGAAAACTCCCCAAAACTCTGAGCTACACATTAATAAAAATATTTTTCTGTTTAGGCTAATATTTTCCAATTGACTGGTTAGGGTACAGTCTAAAACAGCTATTAAAAGAGATGTAAAAACCTCTGTAGCTTAAACAAATATGGTCCTCTCATGTAACAACTCGGAGGTAGGCAGTCCAGAACTGAGAAGGCAGCTCTCCTATCCTCATCATGTAGCTTCTGTCTTTGTCTGAGGCAGCTGCTCCAGCTTTTATCATCCTATCTGCATTCCCTAGCAGCAGGAAGGAGAGGGCAAAGAGTCAGTATACCCCCCTTACTTTTTTTTGGTTTAGCTTTTTAATTAGAGTATAATGCATACATACGGAAAGTGCATCCATTGTAAGTGTTCAGCTTAGTTAATTATCACAAAGTGAATACACTGGTGTAACCACCACCCAGGTTAAGAAATAGAACATTATCACTCTCTAGAAGCCCCTCTTGCCTTGCTACTATGCCTTCACTTCCCCAATTCTAAGACACTGTTAGTTTTTCCACTTTTTAAACTTTATAGAAATGGAACCATATTCTTTTGTTTCTAACTTAATTCATTCAACATTGTTTGTGATATTATTTTTCTAAGTTCTTACATGTAGTGGTAGTTTATTTTTATTTATGTACCAAGATTTCACTTTCTGACTATACTACAATGTATTTATTCTTTCTAGTGATGAAATTTTGGTTATTTCCATTTTGATTATTGTGAACATTTTTGTAGATGTTTTTTGTGCACATGTTAAAAGCATTTCTGGCCCTGGCCGGTTTGGCTCAGTGGTTAGAGTATCAGCCTGTGGTCCAGAGAGACCCGGGTTTGGTTCCCGCTAAGGGCACATACCTTGGTTGCAGTTTGTCCCTGGCCCTGGTTGGACCCTGGGGGAGGCAGCCACTCGATGTGTCCCTTTCACATCGATGTTTTTTTTTTTCTCTCTCTCTCTTCTCTCTCCTTCCCACTCTATCTGAACAAAAAATGGAAAAATGTCCTCAGGTGAGGATAAAAAAAAATATGCAAACCTCTTTCTTGAATCTTGTGACAGTTTCTAAAATAAAATGAATTACTTCATTAAACATAATATTTTTTTATTTTTTATCCTCACCCGAGGATATTTTTCCATTTTTTGTACAGATAGAGTGGGAGGGAGAGAGAGGAAAGGAGAGAGAGAGAGAGAAACATCGACGTGAAGGGACACATCGAGTGGCTGCCACCCGCACGACCAACCAGGGCCGGGGATAAACTGCAACCGAAGTACGTGCCCTTAGCGGGAACCGAATCCAGGTCTCTCCGGACCGCAGGCCGACGCTCTAACCGCTGAGCCAAACTGGCCAGGGCTAAACATAATTTTTTTTTTAAAAAAAGCATTTCTGTTGAATATACCTAGGAATGAATAAGATATATGAATGGTCAATTTAGCTAATGCCAGTTTCCCAAAGTGATTGTACTCATTTACAGTCCCCTCAGCAGTGTGGAAGAGTTCCTGTCAGTACAACTTCATTCACTCTTGATATGTCAGTCTTCTACATGTTAGCTATTCTGGTGGGTATGTTGCAGGGATAGTCATTTTGATTTTTATTTCCTTCATGATTGGTATGAGAGCACTTTACATATAGTCATTAGCTGTTTGAGTAGCCTCTTTTGTAAAGTGCCTATTGAAGTTCTTTACATACTTCTCTATTGGTTTGTCTATTTCTTATTGATTTATGGGAGTTCTTTATGTAGTCTCAACATAAGCCCTTTGGCAATTGTGCATATTGTAAATATCTTCTACCACTCTGTAGGTTGATTTTCACTTTTACTGGGGTCTTTAGTGAAAACAAAGTTTTTAATTTTAATACATTTCTATGATTCTTTTTCTTTATGGTTTGTGCTATTTTTGTGTCCTATTTAAGAAATAGTTCCCTACCTTAATGTAAAATGGAAAGCAACAAAGCTCTAGAAGCATGTAGATTGGCAGTCCATCTGGAAATGATTTTTGTATTATAGTATGGATATATTTCTGACCTCATACCATTTGTTGAGAAGATTATTTTGCTGCTTTAGAGTGCCATTCTTGCCTTAAATCTAATATTCATATATGTGTGGATCTGTTTCTGGACTCTGTTTTGTTCATTTGTCTCTTTGCACCAGTACCATTAAGTAAAATTGTCTTAGTTACTATAGCTTTTTCATTAGTCTCAATATGTGGTAGAGTCATTTCTTTTATTGTTCTTCCAGGATTGCTTTGATCATTCTTGGTCTGCTGCAAATTCATTTAGATTTTAGATTGAAATAGATTTGTTTATATTTCATCTATTTTTTTATTTTAAGAGCACAATCTAGATTTTTCACTTATTTCTACCCATACCCTAGTGGCCAGAATATTATCACATGACTATGTCTAGCTATAAGGGAGACTTGAGAAATAAAGTCTTTAGTTTGTTGACTATTTATCAGCTAAAACTATTATAGTGGCAGGAAAGAGATAAGATATTGAAAGATATCAAACAGTCTGCCATGCCATTTGAGATTCCTTTTTTTTTTAAAGAGAGAATGGAAGGGAGGAAGCAGGGGAGAAAGGGAGGCGGAGAGAAACATCGATGTGAGAGAAACACAATGATTGGTTGCCTCTCATAAGTTCTCTGACCCAGGCCAGGAATTGAATTAGCAACTCAGGTATGTGCCCTTGATCAGGAATCAAAACCAAGACTGTTTAGTGCTTGGGCCAATGCACTAACCACCTGGCAATACCGACCATGGCAAGAGAGTTCTTTAAATTGGGTGCAATTTCATAGTTTGTATCCCTGCCCTGCCACCTACATTGTGGCTGACTTTATACTTTGAAGCTTCTCTGGCTTTCCCCAATTATATGCTCTCACAGCATGGTAACATAGGTTCTACAGGTGGTTCCCCCTGTATTCCATAGACACATAAATGTCTGGGAACTCTGCAGCCCTCAGAGGTAATGGATTTATATCTGTGACTCTAACTACAGGTTTTGTACAAGGGCTCTGGCTATTCCTGTATCAAGTGTTTTTACATTGTATAATTGTGTCATGGATGCGGCACATGCAAAAATGATGTCTGACAGTTTATCTTTGTTAGTGGTAGATTTTCTTTCTTATTTTACATTGTCAAAATAATCTGTAATTTTGTACATATATCATAATACAGCCTGGCCGATGTGGCTCAGTGGGACTGAGCGTCGTCCCACGGACTGAGAGGTCCCAGTTCGACTCCTGGTCAGGTACATGCCTGGGGAGCTCGATCCCCAGTGGGGGATGTATAGGAGGCAGCCAATCAATATTCTCTCTAACATTGATGTTTCTATTATCTCTTCCTTCCTCTCTCGGTAAAAAATCAATAAAAACATATAAAAATGTTTTAAAAATGTATTGCAGTGCTGATACAGGCACAGAAGAGTAAATAATCTCCCAGGCAAGAAATAGGAAAGGAAAAATAATGGAAAGAATTAGAAAATTTTGTGGGTTAAAAAAAATATATATATATATTTTTTTTTTTAACTTTTTTTTTTCTATATTGAATTTTAGAGAGAGGGGAAGGAAGAGGGAGAGAGAGATAGAAACATCGATGAGAGAGCATCGATTGGCTGCCTCCTGCATGCCCCTTACTAGGGATCTGACCCACAACCTGGGCACATGCCCTGACTGGAAATCAAACAGGCGACCTGTTGGTGCATGGTTCAATGCTCAACCACTGAGGCACAACGGCCGAGCAAAAAAAAAGGTTATTTTAAATTGTGGTTTTAAAAAAAGCCACAAAATGTACCATCATAATAATTTATTTAGTATACAATCCAGTAGTAATAAGTATATTAATATTGTGCAACCTATCTCTAGAACGTTTTCATCTTGCAAAAGTGGAACTCTATATCTGACAACTCCCCATTTCTTCCTCTACCCACCTCCTAGCAACCACCCTTCTACTTTCTGTCTCCATGAATTGGACTACTCCAGGTACTTCGTATATATGGAATCCTGCAGTATTTGTCCTCTTGTTTCTGACTTATTTCACTTAGCATAATGTCTTCAAGGTTCAACCGTGTTGTAGCACATGTCAGAATTTTTTTCCTTTTTAAGGCTGAATAATATTTCATTGTATGTATAGACAACATTTTGTTCATCCATTCATCTGTCATCTATCTTGGGTTGCTCCCATCTCTTTGCGGTTGTGAATGGTGCTACTACTTGAATGTGGGTGTGCAAACTCTGAGATCCTGCTTTCACTTCTTTTGTATATATATCCAGAAACACATTTCCCCCTATATTAATATGAAAAGTATCCAATTCGACTTAAAATTAAAAATCTTTTTAAAAAGCAAAATTATGAATAATTAAATAAATGATTAAAAAAAAGAACTTCCCAGCTTTTTGAATTGTCACCTAGTTTTTAAAGACTTGAGTTGTTTTTATTTGCTATTTTCTTTTTATATCTTTGTGAATTGGTAGCATATTGCCAGAGTTCTAAATTCTTAATCATTATATTGTTATTTGGGGACAAATTTTAGAAATCCTTCAGAAAATAAAATTTTATTTTAATAGTAAATTTGAACTTTGAAATTTAAGCAGTTTGTAGGAGCTGGTATTGAAAAGCACTGGACCACCTATGTTGAAGTAAATGTTGGAGTAGAGGAAGCTTAGCAGTATAGAAATAAATAGACTAATTCTGTATTCTAGTCTCATTCTCTTCATCTTTGTGACTTTGGGTAGGTCACTTAAACTTTCACAGATTCAGTGTCTTCACGTATAAAGTATATACCTGCCTCAGAATGTGAGAACCAAACAAATTACTGTTCGTGAGAGTACTTTAAGAATATGGATCCCGCCCTGGCCGGTTTTGCTCAGCAGTTACAGCATCAGCCTGCGGTCCAGAGAGACCTGGGATCGATTCCCACTAAGGGAATGTACCGCGGTTGCAGTTTGTCCCCGGCCCTGGTTGGGTGGTGCAGGAGGCAGCCACTTGATGTGTCACTTTCACGTCGATGTTTCTCTCTCTCTCTCTCTCTCTCTCTCTCTGTCTCTCTCTGTCTCTCTCTTCCTCTCCCTCCCACTATCTGAACAAAAAATGTTCTCAGGTGAGGATTAAATAAAAAAGAATATTAATCCCTCTATCATTTTAGAGCATTAGTAAATAAATTTAGTGATACTATAATTTTGAAGGATAGTAGGAAATAAGTTTCTTTAATACCTTACTTCACCCAGTTAGAGTAGTGGTTTGCCTCAAATTAATATACATCAGAACCTTTTTATAATATATTTGAAAATAATTTCAGTTCAACTGAGAGAGAGAAAATGATGCTAAGGCACTAACTTGGTTTATGGTAAACTGAATTGTTGTCATGGAATCAGTGATCTTCACATATGCCCCAGGGGGAAAATGTATAAAAACTGAAAGTCTTATATTTACTTCTCAAAATTGGAAAAAATGCATTACATCTTATAAATATTCCCGTTCAATTTTAAGTACCCTGAGGGCAGTGACCTCCAGTGCCAGGCATTTAAACATAGTAAATGCTCAGATGTTAGTTCAGTTAAACTGAATGTTACCAATACTTCATAATTGTAAGTAAAAAGAGGGCCTGTTTGTCATAAAATAATATTCCTTCCTTTTTTCCACCTCCCAGTGTGTCATCCTCGACACCTGTGCACAACCTACTACAGCTACCACCTTGTACCTAAGCAGGATTTTTTTTTTGGCTGCAGTTTTTGCAAAATTTCCAACTAGAATCTGAACTTAATTATTAAAAATAGTAAAGAAAATTATTCTTATATAAGATTAGGATAAATATATATTTGTATTATCTTGACTTTTGAAAGTGATACTTCACCACAGAAAAGATATTTGATATGTCACAGAACTTTTCCTCAAATGTGAATTTTATAGCATTTTGTTTTTTATTGATATGTCACCTATGTAGAACAATGTGTTCACAACTTTCCCTGATTTAATGTAGTTTTTAATTGTTTTCAGGGCAAATGAAGACATGAAATTAACTGACTTAGAACTAGGAAAGCTGGCAAATAATATCCAGGAATTATTGTATAGTGCCTCAGATATATGCCATGATCGAGCTGTCAAATTTCTCATGTCAAGAGCAAAGGTTAGTTGTTTTGATAAAGCTTTAGATATTTTATACATTGTGTAATTATTTTTAAAATCTGGAATCATATCCCTGCTTATGTCCTTATGTTCCCCATGATGCACATTATATTTTTAACACTTAGTAAGGTTAACGGTATTGGTGTAGTCTATTACGAAAATGTTAAAATAATCCAAATAAGAGAAATAGGAAAACTTATTCAACTATTCTTTTTAAATAAATTATCTAATAAAAGACTTATTTTGAAATACACCTTAATAATTAATTCAAAATTAATAATGCTGTTTTATATGAATGTGTATAACTAGTCAAAAAATTTATTAATAAAATTAGTTGAACTACAATATTGTGAAATTTTTATATAATGATGTGAATTCATTTGAGCAACTGTATTTTAAATGGGTCATAATAAAATTTAGGCATCTTAAGCTTTTTATTTTCAATTTCTGGGACTAAAGTATTGGAATCATTAAAATGATTTCAAAATAATTTTTATGCATTAATATAATTATTGTATATCACAAAAATAATATAATTAGTATTGACATTTGTTAAACTGAGTGGTTTTATAGCATATCATATTTGGTATTATATTAATTCTGCATTGATTTTTGTGTTATCTTTAAAATTTAGGATGGTTTTCTTGAGAAGCTAAATTCGATGGAATTCATAACACTTTCTAGATTAATGGAAACCTTCATTTTAGACACTGAACAGATCTGTGGAAGAAAAAGCATGTCATTACTTGGAGCACTTCAAAGCCAAGCTAATAAATTTGTAAACAGGTTTCATGAAGAGAGAAAAACCAAGCTCAGGTATCATTACCATGTCCATTCTGTTCGTAATTTTTTTCCTTTTACAAAACACAATTTTATTTAAAAGAAGAAACTTAATTGGCCAACCAAAACTCCTGACACATTTTTTTCTTTTTAATTAAAGGCAGATTTGGAATCAAAATCACATTTCTTGTCTTTTCAAAATGGAGTTAGAATATTTCTTTCCATTAAAGTATTTTTCAGGAAGATCCTTAATAGATTGCCTTTTCTTTCCCACTTTAAGTGAGTTTATTAAGTTTCATCACTCTTCTTGGTTAGACTAAGAGATATAAAAGAGAGAAATATTTTCTGAAAGTATTCACACTGTTAATGAATAATTTCAATTTATTAAGGTGTTCTGCACTTTTAAGCCTTATAACAATATAGCAATATAGCTAATAGCTATTACTGTTTAAAACTCAATGTCTTGTAATGCATGAGCTGTACTTAAATTTAACTTATTTGTAGTTTTATTATTATTATTATTAAAGATATAACAAAAGTTTTATGTATTTTCTCAACTCTTTTCAACCAAGGAGGATGACATTAAAATATTAAAGTTTATCTTTTTTTTTACTTTTCAATAGCCTCCTCTTAGACAATGAGCGCTGGAAGCAAGCTGATGTTCCTGCAGAATTTCAGGAACTTGTTGATTCTCTATCAGATGGAAAAATTACTTTACCTGAAAAAAAATCAGGGGGTATGTGTGTTTTTTCACACACTCTCTTCCAATTTTATATTGTTTGTTCATTTTGTAGTAATGCTTAATGTTTCTTTAATTGACAATGCCTCTTTAAAAGCCTAGAACTAACACCCCCAGCTTAATAAGTAGTTGACTGGAAAAGTATCTGTGGTAATTTATAATAATTTCAGATATTTATTGATGGTTACTCAACAATCTTTTATGAAGATGCTATTGTTATATTGTTTAACAGTGAGGAAGTGAGGAAGCATGAAGCTTTGAAGGGGTAAGGAATTTTGTGTAAATGTGATGAGCTGGGATTTGAAACCAGCTTTCTGTAATTTCATAGCTGTGTTCTTAACCACCATACCATATTGTTTAGAGACATGTATTCATTCATTCAGCAGAAGTAAGCTGAAGAAGTGTTACATATTGAAACAGTTATAACAGTTATAGTTGTACTTTAAAAGGGTTAAGTCTAATGAAAAAATATATATATTAGCAAGTAATGTAGTATGCTACGATAAAGAAAATCAAAATGTAAAGTACCATAGAAAAAGAAAACTATGAAGGAGACTAAGAAGGAAGGGCCAGAGAGGTAGGAAGAAACCCAGAAGAACATAGAAGTAAAAAAAAGTAGAGTTTCAAGAAGAGAATTGTCATTGGTATCAAATACCAGTTGGGTTTCATATGAAAGAGATACAATGGCTAAAGTGGAGTTGTCGTGTGATAATAATGTAAACTTATGTACAACTTGTCCTGTAATACCAGATTTGAAACTATAAAGTCCTTGAAAATTTTTAATGGAGGAAGCAGTTGCATTTTCACATTTTATGCATTTAATGAATATTTAATATTTTTACATAAAAATATTTTTAAATTGTATACTTCACATTTGTACAAAATACAATTGTACTACAATAGAAAGACTGAGTAAAATATAGATTGTGATCACTAGTTTTACATGTAGATCATTTGTAATCTTATGAATTCAATTGAGTGATAGAATCCGATTGTAGTTCAGAGCTAAGTAACTTGAAAGGTGAGGAAGGGTAGATAAGTGTAGCGTATTTTTTCAACAAGTTTGGCTGTGAAAGGAAGGTCAGTGATGAAGTGACGGCTAGAGATGCAGTAAACCCTCTATTTTGTGGACCTCAATTTAATGGACTTTGGATTTAACAGACATTTCTGGTCCGTATGTCCTATGTGAAAATTAACACCCTGTTAATTTTAAAATGCTTTTAGCCAAGATTTGCTTATAATTAAATTAACAGGTTATGTTATTAATTCAATGTTGTTGTTAATAAATTTTAGCGAATAGGCCATATGTTGAAAAAAACACTAGTAATTTCACCATCATAAATAAATATTACATATACAACTATAGTCTACATTTTTAAATCCAGGAGTCACTGCTCGTAAACAATGTTCGGCAAATGATTAGCATGTTATCACACTGCATCTCTCAAGGTAATTAGTTGTTGTCGTGTGGTGTGACTTTCTGCAGCAGTGTTAAAGTGTGCCGTCTGGTGTTCAGCTTTTGTTTACTCATGGTGACTGGTGAATGCATCCATTTACTAGACCTATTCAGTATAAATTAAAAACTACTGTAATACACATAGAAAACTTTTCTGTGAAGTTAAACTTTTCATACATACTTAATTTTAATTACACAAAAGTGACTACATAAGTAAAAACAGATAAACTAATTTGTTAGTTTTTTAACATATGCATTTGGAAAACCTACTTTATTATATAATGGGCTTCTAGCTTTTTTTTCTTCTTGTGGTGGTGGTGGCAGCAGACTTTCAGCTTTAATGGACACCCCCTCTCCCGAATTAGTCCATTATATCAAGGTTTTACTGTAAGAGAGAAGTTAGAGATTGTTACCTTAATCCCCTCAGGGAGTTGGGAGAAGAATTTTGAGGTAGAAGAAGCTGAGTTATATTTTCATGTTTAACAGAAAGAGGAAGAAGGTTAATTTAGGAAAAGAATGACATAGTGATTGTGGAGCAGTTCTCCTGGAATTGAATCGAGTTCAGGAGAAAGAAAGGCTGTCTCTTCTACCACAGTGACAAGAGAAAAGGGTTAAAGACAGGTGTAAAATATAGGGCTGAGAGAGGAATGGAAGGAATAAGTAAATTTCTGTTGCCTAGTGACCATTGTTAGTAGATAACAGCAGTGTTAGGTGGTGGTCACAATTTTTTAACTGATTTTATGATAGCAAATCAAAATCATTCAAGTAGCAAAAACTGAAAGAAAAATGAAACATTCTGATCATTCTAAATTTTAAGTTTAAAATTATGAGATTTATTGCTCATCTGCTGCTCTTTTAAGCTCTATTTGATTGACTTTACATTGAGTTAGCTACTATACTAGATGGCAAAAACATGTTTTCTGTCCCTGAAACAGTTCAGTCCTTGAAATCCACTGTCATGTAAACATAATGATTTTTAATTAAATTGATATAATGTGATTGAAGTAACTGTGCATTTTTTCTGCAAAGTGAACTATTTATTTTCATTTCCTGTTTGAAGGGTGCTAACAGAAGTTTCTCTACATACTTCTTGTTCCAGTCCTTTTTTCTTTCCTCTGAGAGAGAAGAAAGTATATGCTATTAGAAATCCATTAACATTTTACTAGTTCTTATTAAGTTAAGGGTCCTTGGTTGTTATTTATCCACTTTACATTTATAGAGTTACTAGCTATTTGGCTAGGCATTGGGGAAATGAAGGTTAATGAATAGCAGTTAATATTGATGCTAGACAGTTTGTTCTAGAACAAACACTTTACATTGTTATCTCATTTACAGGTCCACAAAGTAGTCACTGTTAGTATTCTCAATGAACAGATACGTGAACTGAAGCACAAAGAGGTTAAGCAACTTGCCTAAGGTTGCATAGCTAGGAAGTGGTAAAGCTGAGATCCAGATTGAGGCAGACTAACTTTAGGGCCCTTTTTCTTAACTACTATGCTATGCCTCTTCTCTGCAATGTAGAGAATTGGTTAAGACACAGTCCCTGCCCTCAAAAAATTTAATCTGACATACAGAATGAATTGTGATTAGAAATTATATCACACTGAATTTCTTTACTTTAAAGAAACAAGAAAGTAGACATTTAATATGTCAGCATAAGGAATGTCCAAACCTGTTGAGAATTTTTATAAGAGCTTATTTGAGCCAAAGTGATGGCATTCAAGAAGCAAGATCTCAAATGCTTTAGCAAATGACAGTTTTGCACTTCTTATACATGTGGAATTAAGGAGGGAACATAAGGAAGATTACATGAAGGTAGGAGAAAGCTAAGTATAGAATAGTTAAGATTATGTGCCCTCTGGAGGTTGGTTACACTTTCAAAGGGTCTGAAAACGAGGCATTTCAAAGTTATGTTAACCAAATGTACAAGAACAGTAGACAGGTTTTACTTGACGCCAAGATGACCTTTTACTAGGAAAGTTATAGGCCTGAGACTTGACTACCCACTATGACCTGCTCAGTTTAGATTTTATGATCAGATCACACTGTGGGGTTACTTTCTGTCACTGAACTTGTGCATAGCCCCTGTATTATTCACGAATATCTTAGACTTCAAAGGGGATTTGAAGCTTAGGGAAGTATGATGACTTGCCCTTGGTAATCTAATTAATTGGGCTGATTCAGGACAAAATCCAGTCCACCTTTTTTTTCACCTCAACATGATGAATTTTGTTTTATAATAAATACCATATGCTGAAAATAAAGTAAATTCTGGATTAAAATCTTGAAAATTATTAAATGTATCCTCTCTCTGTGGAATATAGGAATTAACTTGCATTTTAAGAATTATAATAAAAGCCCTGGCCAGTTTGGCTCAGCGGTTAGAGCGTCGGCCTGTGGTCTGGAGAGACCCGGGTTCGGTTCCCGCTAAGGGCACGTACTTTGGTTGCAGTTTGTCCCCGGCCCTGGTTGGTCGTGCGGGTGGCAGCCACTCGATGTGTCCCTTCACGTCGATGTTTCTCTCTCTCTCTCCCTTCATCTCTCTCCCTCCCACTCTATCTGTACAAAAAATGAAAAAATATCCTCGGGTGAGGATAAAAAAAAAAAAGAATTATAATAAAGAAAAGACAACCAGATAAAGTGTAGTTCTGCCTTTCCAAACAAATAACATTTTTTTTTGCTTTACTACTTACTGATTATTAACCATGTGCCAGACCTAGAGAACAGACAGTTTGTAATCACTATCTTTATTATTAACAACAACCCTGAAAGATGTTATTCATGTTAAACATGTTATTCATGTTTAATCGATACAGATATTGAGATTCAAATAAGTTAATTGGCCCAACGTCATGTGTCCAGTAATTGGCAGTACTGGAACTCAAATTCAAATCTCTCTGATTTCAAATTCAGTATACTTTTCACTCTGTGCCAAATTGCTTCCTAAGAAGTAGATGTTTATTTTCAGAAATGAGACGGTTTCAGGCCCTAAATAGGAACTATCTATCTTATTCTGTTTTTTTTCTAGTTTAAATTTTTCTACAGTATTTTGTTTCATCTTGTACCTATGTCTGTCTTGTTTATTTGCTTTACTTTCTAGCTACAGAAGAAAGGAAACCAGCAGAAGTTCTCATTGTCGAGGGACAACAGTATGCTGTTGTTGGGTGAGTGACACATTTTTCTTTATTAGTTGAGTAAATTATTTAAAACACTGGTCTTCTAGTTCCCACTTGATGTGAATTGGAAAATTTGGGTTAACAACTTAAAACCCTCCAAGAGCCCTGGCTGGGTAGCTTAGTTGGTTAGAGCATCGTCCTGAAAACACCAAGGTTTCGGGTTAGATCCCCACTCAGGGCACATACAAGAAGCAACCAAAGAATGCATAAATTAGTGGAACATAAATAAGTTGTTTTTTCTCTCTCTCTTTCCCCCTTCCTCTCTTTCTCTAAAATCAATAATAATTTGTTTAAAAACACTTCCAAATAATTTTAAGTTCTCTTTTCGATTTCTCATATGTCCTGCTAATAAGCTGTTGACTTTCTCATCTTTGGCGAAACTTTTGTGACTACCAGTGTAAGAAGTGTCCAAGTCTGTAGAGAATTTTTATAAGAGTTTATTTGAGCTAAACTGATAACACATGTCAGGAAGCAAGATCTCCAATGCTCCAGAAAATAAGTTTTGCAGCTTCTTTTATGTATTTGAAATTAAGGACGGAGGTGAAGGAAGATTACATGAAGGTGTGAAAAAGCAAGGTGGGGATAGGATTACAAGATAACTAACAAGATTATGTACTCTCTTTAGGGTGGTTAGGCTTATTTCAAAGATAGTTAACCTAGATGCACAGAAATAATGGACAGGGCTTGCTTAAGGCAAAGAAACTTTTTATTAAAAAGTTATACACTTGGCCCTGGCCAGTTTGGCTCAGCGGTTAGAGCGTTGGCCTGCGGTCCTGAGAGACCCGGGTTCGGTTGCCGCTAAGGGCATGTACCTCGGTTGCAGTTTGTCCCCGGCCCTGGTTGGTTGCGCAGGTGGCAGCCACTTGATGTGTCCCTTTCACATTGATGTTTCTCTCTCTCTCTCTCTTCCTCTCTCTCCCTCCCACTCTATCTGTACAAAAAATGGAAAAATGTCCTCGGGTGAGGATAAAAAAAAAAAAAGAAAAAAAAAAAAAAGTTATACACTTGGTATGTGACTACCCACCATGACCTGTCCAGTTAGGAATTTATGATCAGATCACCCTGTGAGAATACTTTGTATAGAACCCTTGGTGTTTTTGTTTGTTTTTTGTTTTGTTTTTTATCCATATGACTTACCAATAAACATTTTAGGGAATATATTGTTCTTAGAAGCCATAGTTTTTCTTTGATCTCACTAAGAAAATCTGGACTAGGTTCCCACCATTAATTCAACAGTTATGACTGAGGACCTGCTACATAATCAGAAACACTGGGTAGGTTTTTGTCAGTGTTTCTGAATTGACCAAAGAATGGGATACCTGCTTTATAGAAGAGACTTACCTGATAAGGATGCCACACAGAGAGTCATGTGCCCACAGCACAAAATTTAAGGAGGTATTCATTCTCAATGTCATGCAGGTACTGACTCTGTAATTGCACAACCCTGAAATTGAACGCCCCCTTAATTTTGCACCCTAGTAATCTCTCTTACCTCAGCCTATTGAGTTCCTGTTCTGCTGTGCTAGTAGGTAAAACACATAATTTAGTAGTTACCAAGATCGTTGTTGATTTTTGTATGCTGAATCAGTTTGATTTGTCTTGTTTTGACTGTCTACTGGATCACCTTTGTTTTCTTTTAGAACTGTATTGTTGTTGATAAGAATTATCCTTGAATATTGCCAATGTGTGGATAATATCCCATCTGTTACTACTGACATGCTTACTCGTCTGTCAGATTTATTGAAGGTGGGTATGATTTTACTCTGTTATGGAAACATAGTTGGAAGAAGTAATTCTTTAGGGTGTGACTTATCTTCCAACTCTTAAGACATTTCAAGGTTAACTTATCTTTAAGACATTAATTTTGTGACATTTAATTATGGTTGAATCACATGTAACTGGAAGAAGGCCGTCTGCTTCCTTCTCACTCTGCACTTAGTGATTCCTCATTACACCTATAGAGTTGTTAATGACATTGGAGACAGGAGATGATTTGTTCGTTAGGTGCCGAACATGACTGAGGCCACTTAGGTCAAGAAACCTGGACTGGTTTCAAATGTGCATGGAAGGAATTCACTGAACTTTACAAAATTCATCTCACTAAGGTTAGAGATTTTTCTTGAATCATTCTTTCAGAACCATTGATGTAAAATAAAAATGTGGTGATACTTTAATTCAGCTATTTCATATTAACATATTTTTAACTGCTAACATAAAAAAAAGGTTTCATTTTTTCAACTGTCTAATCTATCAATTAATTCAGTTCTAAAATTGAGTTGTCATATTTTAGTTGAGAAAGATTTTGTTACCCTTTTGAAATGGACTATCCAGTAAAAATGACTGAGGAAAATGACTGAACTAGTTCTGTGAATGCAAATTAAAAGTTAATTTCTGCACAACTGATTTTTAGAATTTCTCAACGTTTTTTCTACCAGAAAGTAAATATTGTCATTTAGGAATACCCTTCCCCTCCCTTTCTTTTTTTTTCTTTTGGTCATCATTACATAAATAGATTCTAATTGCTCCTCCTAGAAAGTTCATTGGGTCATTAAATGAGCGGAAAGAGGAATGCATTTTTTAGAACTGTTAACACATTGCCAGAAGATGAAGAATAGTTTTTAATAAATTGTTGGATTTTTTTTTCTCCTTTCTTTGTTAGTACTTCAATTCAAGAAGTTGTCAGTTAGTTCTTGGAGCTGGTGCACTGCAAGTTGTTGGACTAAAAACAATAACTACAAAAAATTTGGGTATGGATTCTGGAATTTAATTCACTTGCTGAGGTGTTATAATTATGTTACTGTACTAATAGTGTTTTTAGAATATGTTTTTGTGACTCTAACCAAAGGCTCTAGAAGTAGTAAATGCTACTTCACTCTTTTATGTACCACCATAACTGAAAAATTAATTTCTGGGTAAATGTCATGAGGAATTTCCACTTTAACATGTATGTTATTTGGAAGTTGCCCCACTGCTTTATGTATGAAGTACTTTCGGTGAAGGGTATCTGAATGTCAGAAGAGAATCAGTTGTGCCATCAGCCAATAATGCTTACAACCTGAGTCCATTTGGAAAATCAACATGTTCTTTACATTACTCGCTACCAAATGACTTTTTAAACAAAATGAATATGTTGCTTTCTGTCTCAGTATTCTTCATTTATGAAACAAACTGGGGCCTGTATAAAATTAATTGATGTATTTTATTTAATTTGATATATACTTAAAGTAAACTAATATCCTTTTTTGTTTCTCCATGATATATCTACTACTTGGATCCTCAGCTCTTTCTTCACGTTGTTTGCAGTTAATTGTGCACTACCTTCCTGTGATCCGGGCCCATTTTGCAGCCCGGCTGCAGCCTAAGCAATATAGCATGCTTAGGCATTTTGATCATATCACTAAGGTACTTTTTCATATATTTTTCTACTAGAGTTTTATAAATTTAATTCCTGAATTGTTAAGTATATTTTACATGTATCCTAGGGGCTTTAAAATATAATGTTATTTCTCATTACAGGACTATCATGACCACATAGCTGAAATATCAGCTAAGCTTGTAGCGATAATGGATAGCTTATTTGACAAACTGTTATCTAAGGTAATGATTTATATAAATTATTTGACTTTGCTTAAATGCACTGTGACTTTTTCATAGTTGTGTAACAAATCAAATTCTTCAGGGTTTAGGAAAAAAACTCAATAAAGTCCTCATATTGCCCAAATAGTTGATATACAGAAGTAATTTTATATTAGCTGCATTGACAAATATGTACCTTCCTCAAAAACAGGTTTTAGTTAGAAAGCCTTTTAGAGATGAAATTTAGAGAACAAAGATCAAAATAGAGAAAACAGTAAATAAGTTATTTGTGATAAAATGTGTTACTTTAAAAATGCAGTCTGAGGTGCTCTATTATTTTCCTCATAGATAATCAATTTCAATGTTTGTTTTTGTTTGTTTCCCATTCCCTGTAGGTTATTAAAAGAAACAATGTTTTCCAAAGAATTCTCAATTAAACTGGGAGGATATCTTCAGGAAAATGTCATTTAATCAGCCCCAATCACTTTTGCCCTGTTACTCTTTCATTTCCCTAAGTTTTTCAGCACATACCTTAGGGAAAAAGCAGAAATTTTATAACTTGAAAGTTTGAAGGTTATACTTTTGCCAAAGAGCATGTTTAGAGTAAGCTTATAAAGCAAGGCACTTTTTTATGCTTTTCCTACTACTTGCATCCTTCAGGTTCTGAGATGGCAGGAGCAACAGGCACATAAAAATCATAGAAGGGCAAGATAAAATATTACCCATTCACACATGGAGACATGTGCAAAACCTTTGCAGGTGACAGTAAGAAAGGAGTGCTTGGAAAAAAATGATTGCATTTGTTTAATAATTCTCAGATGCTTTGGTCACAGTACCCCTTTACACACTTAAAAATAATTGACTCCAAAGAACTTTTATTTATGCAAATTGTACTTATCAGTATATACCATATTCGAAATTAAAACTAAGAAAAATTTAAAACACAAGGATATACACATTCACATTCCATTAGCCTTCAAAATGACATCATCACAATTTATCTAAAAATATCTACTATTCAATCAAGAGAGAATGAGAATGAAAAAGATAATAACATCTTAGTATTGTTATGAAAATTATATTTACCTCACGGATTCCCTGAGAGAGTCTCTGACACCCAGGTGTCCCCTTTGAGAACCTCTGGCATAGTACATAGATAACATAGATGTTTTATGCTTCTGTTTTAAAAAGCTTAAGGAATTTATAGTTATGTGCAATCATACCTATATTTTGTTAAGCCTGCTAAATTAGTTTCTAGTTTTGCAGGAAAAAATTATTATTGTTTAGAAATTCTCTATTTTCTTTATGATTGCCACGTATAAGCTAAATTCAAAAGTAGTTCTATTCCACCAATTTCCTTTTTGATACGTGGCATTCTTCCATGTACCAAAAGTTAATACATAAGGCATTGTAACTACCCTCAAGAAGTTTACCGTCCAGTATGGCAGAGGACTATAAACACTTAACAATGTATAATTAGATAAATGTTAATTAGTGGAACCAGTAATATGCTGTGGAATATAATGCAGCAAAACCAAAAAAGTGCCGCTACTCTTAAAACTCACCCTGACTTTATTCTATCATTTTGGTCATCTAAAGCTTTTGAACAAGAATTGGGACTGTGGCTAGACTTTTTCCTGTGACAACTCATATTATTTTCTTCTGGCAAAGAAAAATGAGGGTTCTTTATTGACCTTCCCATATATTTATCACTTATATTGAATAGTCATTAACATTTTGCTGCTTTTGCTAAAATATTTTATAATATATTTGAAACTTTATGATACTTTATCCCTAAATAATTGTCTTTCTAAAAACTAAGGACACTTTCTTATATAACCACTCTACCATATCACAGCTAACAAAATGAACAATATTTTATAATACCTATTTCTGTTTGAATCTTATTCATTGTACCAAAATGTCTTTTCACAATAACCTATTTAAACAAAGACTTCTAGCCCGGCTGGTATGGCTCAGTGGTTGAGCATTGACCCATGCACCAAGAGGTCGCTTGTTCGATTCCTGGTCAGGGCATATGCCCAGGTTGTGGGCCAAGTACCCAGTGTGGGGCATGCAGGAGGCAGCCAATCGATGTTCTCTCTCATCGATGTTTCTATCTCTCTCTCCCTCTTCCTTCCTCTTTCTCTTAATTCAATAAAGAAACAAACAAACAAACAAAAACCAAAGACTTCTATGTGGTCTACATACTGCATTTAGTTATTATGTCTCTTAAGTCTTTTATAAACTTCCAGTGACCCCCCCCCATATTTTATGTCTTTTTTTTTTTTTTTTTAATCCTCACCCAAGGACATTTTTTTTGTTCTTCGTTCAGGTAGAGCGGGAGGGAGAGAGAGGAACAGAGAGAGAGAGAGAGAAACATCGATGTGAAAGGGACACATCGAGTGGCTGCCACCCGCACGACCGACCAGGGCCAGGGACAAACCGCAACCGAGGTACGCGCCCTTAGCGGGAACCAAACCCGGGTCTCTCAGGACCGCAGGCCGACGCTCTAACCGCTGAGCCAAACCAGCCAGGGCTTTTATGTCTTTTTTTTAATGTCAGGAATATGCCTAGACTATTCCAACTTAGTGTTTTCTCTACTACCTTCCCCATTGATGACTTGTTACCCTAACATGTTGTGTTCTTCCCTTATTAACAAGTGTCTCTTTGCTCCTCCTTGTCATATATACTTTTTTTTTTTTTCATGGGTTGCCCAGGAGTTTGGCCCTGTTTTTAATTCATACCAAAATAACAGACAGTGGTTAGTTTGGATTAGCCTCTCACTTTTTAGCTTTTCATTTTCTTATCTGAAAATTTAATTTGGAGAAAGAAGGATAACACAATAATATAGGCCAATTCAAAGAAGCTAATTACATTGCTTGGGTAGAAATAAAACATTAACATCTAATTGTGCTACTGGCTAGACCAATGTTTTAGCCTTCATTCATTCATTCATTCATTCAGTTAAATGGTTTAGGCAACAGGGATATACAAGGGCGAAGAAGCCTTTTATCTTGTCCTCAAATAGTAAATATTTATAATTTTAGATATTAGATACTTACCTAGTAGAAAAAGTACATCAATAACTATAACAGGAGGTAGTATATATAAAGTGTCATATGTAAATAATCAATTTAGTGCTATGGGAGCTTTTAATGCTTTGGAAGAGATGGTTGCCAGCTAGGTAAGGAGACCTGGGAAAGCTTTATGGATGAGGCATGCATTATAAGGTCTGATTTTTTTTTAAATATGTTTTTGCTGATTTTAGACAGAGGAAGATAGAGGGGGAGGGGGAGAGAGACAGAATCTTCAATGAGAAACATTGATTGATTGCCTCCTGCACGCCCCCTACCGGGGATTCAGACCACAACCCAGGCATGTGCTCTGACTGGGAATCAAACCAGTGACCTCTTGGTGCATGGGATGATGCTCAATATACTGAGCCACAATGGCCCGGCATAGGTCTGCTTTGAAAGATAGGTATGATTAGGGCAAATGAAGTTGAGGTGTAGAGATACTCTGAAGTAACATCATGAGCAGACATGTTGATAAGAATCCTAAGAAGGAAGTTTAGTGTCAGGGTTTTAGAATTAGGTATACCTAAGCTCAAGTTACATGCTTGTCACATATTAGCCATTAAAGGACCTTGGGCAAATTATTAATTTCCTTAAACCTCAGTTTCTGTCTCTAAATGGGGATTATAATAGAATCTTATAAAGTTGCAGTGAGGATTAATGAGATAGTATATGTGAAGCCCTTTTCTTTTATCATGTGTCTGACTGTATCAAGTTCCAGTAAATGTTGACTGCTAATGCTTTTGTTGTTAATAACAAAGGTAAGCAATGTCATTTAGCTAATGTGTTAAAGCTGGTGAGCAGAGGAATGGGAGATACATTGGAAAGATAGTAGAGAACTTTACTAGTGAAAAGTTAAGCAATTTAAGTCACGCTTATAGAGGTATAATTTACAGTCAGAAATTCACTCTTTCTGAGTATATAGTTTGATGATTTTAACAAATGCATACAGTAGTGGAACTACCACTGTCAAGATAAAGTTCCATTACTGTTAAACATTCCCTTAGGCACTTTGCAGTCAGGCCTCTCCCCAAACCTTGACAACCACTCATCTGATTTTTATCTGTATAGTTTTACCTTTTCCAGAATATACTATAAATGGAATTACACAAAATATAGCCTGTTATCTCAGGCTCCTTTCATTTAACATATTGCTTTTGAAATTCATGGATGTTACAGCATGTGTTAGTAGTGGTCTTTCCCTTTTTATGGTAAAGTAGTATCTATTGTATGGATGTATTTGTTTATCCATTCATCAGTTATAGACCTTTGGGATGTGTCTAGTTTTTGGCTGTTATGAATAATGCTGCTGTAAACATTCATGTGCATATCTTTGTGTGGGCATGTGTTTTCATTACTTTTGTGTATATACTTTGGAATAGATTGATGGTTGTATAGAAATGTAAAACTTTAACTATAAAAAACTGCCAAATTATTTTCCAGAGTGACTAACTATACCATTTTGTCTTCCTTCTTGTGATGTATAAGATTTCTAAGTGCTTTCATCTTCACCAGTACTTTCTATTGTCTGTCTGTTTTTTAATGTTAGTCCTCTAGTAGGTCTGTGTGAAGTGATAGCGCATTGTGGTTTTAATTTACATGATGACTGATATATTGAACATCTTTTCATGTGTCAGTTTGCCATCCATATCTCTTTTTTTTTGGTCAAGTGTTCAAATTTTTTGCTCATTTAAAAAAATTGAGGTGGGCTCCCTCTGGAGCATGCTCACACCTTTCTTTTCCCTTTCTTTCTCAGGTGTGCTTTTCTGCCTCTCCCAGAGTAGATTAGGATATTTAATGAAAAGTTCTTGAGATTTACATGAGTAGCTCAGATCGTAGTTGAAGTGTGAGCTTGAGCACTATATATCAATTATATGTGTAGGGGCAGAAAACATTTGTCTGTGGGAACAGAATGCAATCCAAAGGACATTAACATAATTCTCACTATTTTTCCCCATCAGTATGAGGTGAAAGCTCCCGTTCCTTCTGCCTGTTTCAGGAATATTTGTAAGCAAATGACAAAAATGCATGAAGCTATAATTGATCTCCTTCCAGAAGAACAAACACAAGTGAGTAGTAATTCCTAAAACCACTTTTTTAATATATATATAACATAATATGTATGTAGAGATAGAGTGTTTTACATACTTTTGGCACAGTTAAGCTTAGTTTATATTCTAATATGATTATTATTTTTTTCAGTTGTTATATTGGCTTAGGGAATATGGATAAAAATTTCTGATTTCAAAGTACCCCTTACTCAGACAGGTCAGAGCAACAATGGCTTTGCTATATGGTCAGCAATTCTAAAAAATTCATTTTCCATTTGTCCCGTGAGTATCAGAGATCCCAGATTCTACTCACTTCACTTGTTACATTATTAGCTTGAATATCAGACTTGGCATTTAGATTGCTAAATATAAATATAAATATGTTACTCATAGTGATTATAATCCAGATTGGATAGGGGAGGAATTAGTGATAGAGTTAATGAGATGGCACATAAAGTAACTCAATCAGTATGTCTTATTAATATTTATCAGATCAGTGTAAGTGATCTATAATAGGCACAAACCAGATAAAAGCAAAATGGGTAGTCTTTAGCTCCTTTCACCTATGAAGTATCCACCCATTGTCCCGACTGTCTTTGTCCACAGAAGAATTATCACAGAGTTCTCTTCACTTTTGAATTTTACTTTTGTTTATCCTCACCTGAGGGTATTTTTCCCATTGATCTTTAGAGAGATTAGAAGGGAGTGAGGGAGAGAGAGAGAGAGAAAGAAAGAGAGAAACATCCATGTGAGAGAGACACATCGATTGGTTGCCTCCTGTATGTGCCCTGACTGGGGCTGGAGATCAGCCTGCAACCCAGGTACATGCACCTGACCAGGAATTGAACCTGCGACCCTTTGGTGCGCAGGCCGACACTCCAACCACTGAGTCTCACTGACCACGGTCACTTTTTTTTTAATAAGAGAAAGTTTATTTAGAAAGTCACAGAGGTAGAAGTAGTATGCTGTAGAAGAAATGGGCTCAAGAAATAAGTTACAGAGGCAAAAGAAGGGCCCTTGGAGTTTAGGAGAAAGAAAGAGGCAAGGAAAATGCACCTAGGGGAAGAAGGAGGGGAAAGGCACTGGCTTGTGGTTGTGGGCGGGGAGGGGGAGAGAGACTGTGAGGCCAAGAGACCCTCTTCACTCTTCAGTAACATTCCTGCTCCCCACTTCCCTTAGTTCCCTCTCCTAGTACTTCAAAGGTTCTAGTATTTCTTGTTTTTCCCAGGTTGTCTTGACCCACTTTAGCTTGTTCCCTCTATACCAGATATGTCATTCAAGGTAGTTTAGAGTGATACAACGTTATAATACAGTCCTAGTTGTTGTATGACATATAAACTTAACTTTCACTGGGATTTTTGCTTTTCGAACAAGTTTGTTATTTTTTTGTCTCTGATTGCATGGAAATGGTATTTGGGAGCAAAGGGTAGCTTTCTTAGTGACTCCTGCCTACTCTTGCTCCTGCAAGATGCCATCCCATCTTATATAGTTATTACTGTTCATGCTTCCCTAAGTTTTCGTTAGTCATACCGACCTCCATGATTTGGTGCTCACTGAGGACTAAGGAGGAACCATAAGATATGGAGTATCCACTAGGGTCTCTTTTTTTTCTTTCTCATTTCTTCCTAGCCAAGCCATCCTTTCCATTCCACACACAAGATCCCCCATCTCTGACTTTCTGACCTTCTGGATTTTCCATCTGAGTTCTAATTCTAGAGCAAGGCTTAACCAGGTCAGGGAGCTGGGCATACAGGTATTTCATATGTTTTTATTTACATTATAATTTAAAGGGTACTCTTGTCAAAGCTAGGCAAAAATGATAGATTTTATGTCAATATTGTCACTTAAACACCAGTAATTCCACAAAACTTTTCTGTAGGTGGCTTTATACATATTTTTCCCATAGAAAATATATGTTATTCCACAAAACAGTTTCCATAAATTATATATAATTTCAGGTCAGGTATTTCCTAAAGAAGTATTGGGTTATTATTGTATTAAAAAAGTGTGCCTGCAGGAGCAATGAAATAATTTCAAGTAATTTTACCAGGTTAGAAGGATAAAGGTATCTTTGCCTCTACCATTGAGACTTTTTGTCTCTCTATCAAGTTTCTAGTTCGTATATTATAGAATTCTCCATTTCTTTGTATTCTTTTTACCTGTCATGATCTATATACCACTTACATATCTCAGAGGACTTCTCCTAAGGGGCACAAAGGCAGTAGTAAGTCTTATCATTAAAGTAAATAATACTGAAAAGGTGAAAAAGAGCTTTTATCCAACAAAAACCAAAAACTGTATTGAAATAGCAATCATATATTTTCAAGGGAGCATTTTAAAGGTACATGCCAAAACAAAGGTTATTTAAATTTTTTTTCTGATTTCAAATTGATAACTCCAGATACTTCTGTCGTCTATTTCAGTAGAGCTTTAAGAAACTTAGTTGTATTTCTTTTTCAGATGTTATTTTTAAGAATTAATGCAAGTTACAAACTCCACTTGAAAAAGCAGTTATCTCATTTAAATGTGATAAATGATGGAGGACCTCAAAATGGGTATGTTTTCAAAATATTTTTACCACATACTCCCATATCGAATTATTTGATTTATTTTATTCATTATACTCTCCCTTTCCACTATAATCGTGCTGGGGCCCAAAAATTATAAAATCAGCAACCTTTTACTTTTTTTCCTCTGTGGAGACGATATATATCTGTCTGTCTATCCACGTGAAATGTTTTATATTTTTATAAGTGGTCAGTTAAGTAACTGAGGCAGTGTGGGGTAGTAGCACCTCCTTAGGTTACACAAGTCTTCCTCTATCCAGACAGAACTCAAAGTCCTACTTTGTAGCTGCGTCACTATGAGAAAGTCAATTAACTTCGGTGCCTTATTTATAAAATGATAAAGTCTGCCTAATTCCTTCATAGGGTTACAAAAAATGTGTAAGTGTGAATATGTTCATATTTTATCATAAGCCATTGTATATTTATTATTGGTGAAATAAATCATATAATATGTAAAAGAAAACATAGGGTTTAGAATATAAAAACTTGTTCTGCTACTTAACTAGCTATGTAACCTTGGGCAGATCACTTACTCTTTCTTGAGCCTTAATTTTCTATGATTTGAAAATAGGAATAATGGTAAAAAGTTCTGTCACTGCCCTGACTGGATGGCTCAGTTGATTGGAGCATAGTCCCATACATCAAAAGGTTATGGGTTCGATTCCCGGTCTGGGCCCATATCTAGGTTATGGGTTCAATCCCTGGTCAGGAGGCAGCCAGTCGCTGTTTCTTACATTGATATCTCTCTCTGTACCCCCTGCCTTCCACTCTCTAAAAATCAATAAAAACATATCCACAGGTGAGTATTTTTAAAAAAAGGTTTTGTCACAGGATTTTTGTGAAGAGCAATGTATATAAAGAAAGATATGGGGAAAAGATTATACAAAATGCAATGATAATGTAGTTACACCTTAATATAATAATCTCCTTAGTGTTACCTGTTCCATGGATTTTTAGGAATACAATATTTTATTCCCTGTTAAAGGAATTTCAGGGTTAAATGTCAAACTTATAGGAACAAATGAAAAATGTATTTTGGAGTCAGAAGTTGGCCTTGCCCTTAAAAAAGAAGTACACTGAAAGCTATCTGGAAGTTTCTGACTGCTGAATTTGTCAGCCAGGCTGAAATTAGGAGTTTTATGCAAAAATCTGATTCCCTTGATTATTACCTGTTTCTTCTGTTTTTTTGTTTAGTTTAGTTTTGTTTAAAGAATTATTTGTCATTTTCAAAAATTTCAAAGCCATGGAAGAGTTCAAAATTAGTATAATGAATACTAAATACCTCTCAGAGACTATCTAAAAAGAGCTAATATTTTTAAGCCCCACTCCACCTTTCTACTTTTATTTCCATAATTAAATCTAGGTTGGCTGTTTTTTTCTCAGACCAGTAGTTCTGAAGCATCCAATCTAACTCATTACCTATTATTATCTTTTGTAATATAACTATATGGCGGTCAGTACAACCTTAAAGATTTTCACTGTCACGTACTTTTCTTTTTTTTTAATCCTCACCTGATAGTATGTTTTTACCGAATTTTAGAGAGGAAGGAAGGAAGAGAGACTCTGAGGAGAGAGAGCAAGAAACATTGATGTGAGAGAAACATGGAATTGGTTGCCTCCTATACACACCTCAACTGGGGATCAAACCCACAACCTCCTTTTTGGGTGCGTGGGACAATGCTCCAACTGAGCCACCCAGGGCTTCCACTGTCACGTACTTTTAAAGACACTAATTCTGTGTAAGTCGATACATGTCTTTGAGTGATCCCTTGAAAGATAGAATTTCCTGAAAATTAACCTCTAGACTCTAGCCAAAGACATAATGAAAATGTACTTTTTCTTTTTTTTTTCAAAGTAAAACTCACATAACGGAAAATGAACTGTTTTCTAGTTAACCACATCTGTGCAGTCACCACCTGTTTAGTTCCAAACATTTTTACTTCTCCATGAGTGATTAAGCAGTTGTCCCTATTCCTCCTCCCCTGTACTGTACTGTTTCTTTTTAATGTAATATTCTCTGTTTTAAGATACTTTTAAAATACAGGCATATAGAGAATATTTGTATTCCTGCTTAGAATTATTAACATTTATCATTTACACTTGCAAAAATGTTTATCATGTTTAAAAAAATGGCATTTATTCCAAATGAAGCTGAAGAACCCCATGGCCCCATCACCAGTCTTATTCTTTTTCCCCCAACCCTTAGGCAATATTTCTAATAAATTTGGTCTATAACTTTTAAGTCCTTCTCATTTATTATCTCTATATCTTTAAAAATATATTTAGTACTGTTCTATGAGTTTAACTTACTTATAGAGTGTATTATACATATTCTACTTGCTTTTTCACTTAATATTGTTACTGATTTATGTATATTGATATATATCTATATTATTCATAGTTTAACTGCTTTATTGTATTGTCCCCCATGAATCACCTATATTTAATATATTCATTTTCCCCTAGTGATAGATTTCTAGGTCAGTACTTTTTCCATTACAACCATTCCACAGTTAAGATCTTTATACATCTCTGCTGGTTTGACCGTTTTTTTTTTTTTTTCCTTTATTGATCTTAGAGAGAGAGAGAAACAAGAAACATCAGTAAGAGAGAACATCAATTGGCCACCTCCTGCAAGCCCCTCACTGGGGATTGGGCCCAGAACCTGGGCATGTGCCCTGACTGGGAATGGAACCGGCGACCTTTTGGTGCATGGGTCAGTGCTCAACCAGAGCCACACTGGCTGGGCGGTTTAACCGTTTCTTTAGGGTATACATCTACAAGTGGGTTAGAGCACATGTACATTTCTGTTCTACTAGGTATTGCCAGAATGTTCTGCAAAATGGCTGTACCAAGTTTTCACTCTCACCATTTCTCTATATCCTGCCAACATTTGCTGGGTTTTTTTTGTTGTTGTTGTTGGCAGTGGGATGAAAAACAGTGGTATTTTATTTTGAATTGCATTTCCTAATGTTATCTTTTCATGTCATTCAGAGGTTCTCATCTGTGATTTTTCCTGTTCACATTCTTTGCCCATCTCTCTCTTGGGTATTATCTTTTTCTTACTGATTTTAGATTTTTCCATATGCCTTCAAACTAATCCTTTGGTGGTTATATGTTATAAATGTCTGTTTTTATGTTCTCTTTTATCAGTTTTGATATAAAACATTTTCATTACACTTTCTTATATAGACTGTAAATAAGATTTATTAAACATAACTTAATATTTTAAAATGGAGACTTATGTTAATATTATTTAATTTTTAATGTAGGGATCTTCCCTTAGAGAAGCATTGTTCTTTTTGAACCATAGCTGTCAGTTTCATTGTACTTACTGACCATATTATTACAAGAAGTATGATAATTTAGAATTTTTTTTTTGGTTTTTTTTTTTTATCCTCACCCGAGGACATTTTTTCATTTTTTGTTCAGATAGAGTGGGAGGGAGAGAGAGGGAGAGAGAGAGAGAGAGAGAAACATCGACGTGAAAGGGACACATCGAGTGGCTGCCACCCACACGACCAACCAGGGCCGGGGACAAACTGCAACCGAGGTACGTGCCCTTAGCAGGAACTGAACCCGGGTCTCTCCGGACCGCAGGCCAACGCTCCAACCGCTGAGCCAAACCGGCCAGGGCTAATTTAGAATTTTTTATAAATTTTAAAGCACCTTGAATAAGATGAATTTCAAACTAAAAATATGGTCCTTAGTAAATTCTTCCATGTGATAAAAGGTGAAACATTAAGTACATAAGTCCAAAGGTATTTATAAATTAGACTGCAGTACATAAATACCTTTTCCCCAAGGTAGTCCAGCAATCCAGAGTTTAAGTGTTCATTACAATATGAGAGCCACACTTCCTCTTGTCTTTTACAGATTACTAAATCAAGGTCTCCTATTTGTTTCTCCATGGGCCTCATCTTTCAAAATATATATTTAATCAGTCCTGTCATTTTTTTAAATGCATGCAGCTTTGATATTTCTGTTTATCTAAGCGTTCTTGCCAGGAGTGTTGTTTTTCAGGTATAGGCATTAATGTGACAGTTCAGTGTAATTCTCTTTTCACCAAGTGTTGTTGTACTGATTATCAGTACTATGATTTTAGTCATTTATATGTACACTCTAGTGACAAGTGATCAAAACTGTTATTTGCTCTATTTTGTTGCATTGTTTTAAGATAAATCTTTTTAATTGGCAGAATTATGAAACTGAGTCCAACCTACATTGGTTTATTCTTTTTAAAGACATTTATTTTTGAAATAGAACATTAAATGATGTAACTATATGATAGTAGGAATCCTGCTAAGGATTGACATTTGATCTCTAGGAAATCTGAATTTTAAGTAACAGTCTAGCAGCTAGGACTCTTTGATTCTGAGCATTGCTACTTTATTTGAATAGAAAGTGTGAGATTAAAAAAAATTTCTCTCCAATGTTTAGGTTGGTCACAGCAGATGTAGCTTTTTACACTGGAAATCTTCAAGCCTTAAAAGGCCTTAAAGATTTGGACCTAAATATGGCTGAGATCTGGGAACAGAAGAGGTGATGATATACTGGAAAACTGGGTAGCCCATCTGACCATGGGATGTATGTGTTTATGAAGAAAATATGGATGCTTATGATTCAAGAACTGAACCTGGAACCCAAAATGAACTGGGGTAGGGAAATGGGAAAAGGAAAGTATCAGTGTTGGGAAACTGGGATTCAGTGGGATCTACAAGGAATGCCAATTTTGTGCTTCCTTCAGTGAGGAATAACTGATCAGGTGTCTATAACATTTTTCATTCTCTCTGGAAACAGACTCAGGTTTCTTTGGACCAAATCCAAAAGAACACATAGCTGTAACACAGCTGTAGTTGACTAGAATGCTCTGTATACTTTATATTAAAAAATGCTTTGCATTTCTTCAGTGCAATGAAATTCATATGGTGTCCCACCTTATTTAATGATGGTACAATTTAAAATATTAAAATCTTAGTCAACTTCTGTAGAAAGTTTTCTCTATGAAAGTAAAGCTGTTTGAAAATTATTTTTTTACAGATCTTTCTATAAAAAATAAACATCTTTTGATTGCTTGGATTTAGGAATTCAGTTTTTGTTTTAGTGACAATGTCAAGTTTCAGGCTTTGTGTGTCTCATATTTAATCTTTCTACTGCTACTACTACTACTGTTCTCTCTCAAGCCTTCCAGAATAGTCTAAATACTTGAAAGGATGATCACAGTAATAAAGAATAAGATATTGGTGTTTATTTATGCAACTAATTTAAATACTTTTCAGAAGTGGTATATTCAGAATTGGTATATGAAAGCCTGCAGTTTAATAGTTGTATTTTTATAAAGAATATATCTAAAGGGATTTTTTTTTGCCTTTTTATTTCTAGCAGAGGTAATAATACATTTTTAAATATTCTGCCTACTTAAGAATTATCATTTTAACATTTAGATAACATAACGGAGTATGACTCCCTTGGGTTGTTGTTTTTAAGTTACTTTTGATGTGTATATGAACAAAGACCAGGGAGAAAGAAGTAGAAAAACATAGATTGCTGTGTTGGGTCCAGAAATATAAGGTGATGAGTAAGTTATTTAAAGACTTGTTAAAAAAAAAAATCCTCACCCGAGGAACTGTTTATTTATTTTAGAGAGGGAGAAAGGGAGTGGGCCAGGGGGGGAGAGAAACATCGATTGGTTGCTTCTTGTACACACTCCAACTGAGGACTGAACCCATAACCTAGGTATGTGCCCTGACCGGGAATCAAACCCACAACCTTTTGGTTTATGGGATGATGCTCCAACCAACTGAGCCACACTGGCCAGGGCAAGACTTTCATAATACCTACCTTCAAAATTAGAATCAGCAGCACTCTACAAATGAAAGTGCCTGTGCCTCACCTCACACCAGGAATCTTGCCTAACCCTGTGCGAGTGCCTAACTTTGTAGTGATCATGTACAATGAAATAGATTTATTTTGTGCTCTTCAGTTTCCTAAAAGGAAAGCCTGGTTTTTTTCCTTTATCATTACAGAGGTATGTCATTGGTTCTTAACTGTCTGTCTAAAATAAAGCTGTAAACAATTATCAGACTTTAAAAGACCTTTTTAATAGTGTGCAGTCAACTTTAAATTAAACAAGCAGCCTACTGAAAAACAAGTATGGGAGAACTGGAAAATGTAATTGAGTCTTAGAGAAAAGCCACAAATTATACTACCAGTAGACCTGATTTGAAATATTATTCATGAACATTTTTCAGTGACAACAAGCAAGCTTTAAGGAAAGGGAACTTTAAAAAAAAAAGTGATAATCCCCACCCACTATACTAGAGAACAAGGATGTGAAAGAAATGCCCTACCTCTACCCACCCCAGCTCTTTCAGCTGGGAAAAGAAACACCACTTTGTTTTAATAAATGGAGAGTCTGTGGGAAGCATGGCAGGCATCCCAGTTTTAGAACTAAATGAAAGGTACTAAATACCTTCAAGTTTAATTCCTATGGAAATAATGATGTGGTAAGATTCTCAGAAATGCAAAAACTTGATTTTTTCGGTAACTGGCCAGTGAGTATAGATATTCCAAGAACAAATCTCCCAAATGATCCAGTAACTATTTAGCAAGAGTATATACCATTTTTCTTCACCATTTCATAAAGTTAGCATTGAAAAGCATGTGTACACATGTATTGCTTCACAGCTTTATTTTTGAAATCACAAGCAAATCAAAGTGACCATCATTGAGGCCTCTCTTAAAGGATTTTCCAGCATAATTGCCCCAGTTTTAAGATTAAACAATATTGCACTTTAAGATGAACTTTCAGGATCCTCTTCCAAGAAGAAAAGTATTGCTTCCATCTGTGCTTTTCTTAGTCTAAAATAAAAGTATACTGCAGAAAACTTACTTTAAAAATTAACACTGCAGGGTACAGTAACACAGTAAAGTACCTGCCTATTTTAGAATCCTAGAGAACATTGCATTGTATAAACTAGCCCATGATTAGTATAAAGTGTACACAGTATTTTTTCATTTCAGTGGTCCAAGATACGAAGGTTCCCAGATACAATCTTGTTCTCTAATACTGCTCCAGGTGGGATGTCAATTCGGTCACCATGATTTGCGATGATGATAACTGTTCCCTAAGTGACAGGGAAAACAAAAAGCAGGAATGTATTTGCAGCTGAAGCTGAAATGCAACTGCTTTTCTTATAATGATATCAAGTTTATGTAGAACTACATTAACAATGGAATAACTATTTATAAACAACGTTAAACTTGAAAAATAACATGTTAAGGAAAATTGTCATGTGTCCTCTGTGACGATCCTGGCAGTAGTTCCAGATTGCTTGCCTCTTTATCAGAGGTGGTAGGAGTGGGAAGCGTACCCAGTGCCACATGACTGGCCCTTTCAAAGAACTACTTATTAGGCCACCAGCATTACCTTCCTTCATAAGGAAACTAAAGGGTGCTTAAGTTTATATTTATATAACGGTTTGGGGTTTTTATTAAGAACAGTTCGCTGGTAAATTTTTCATATCTTAAGTGAGACTGCAGTATCAGTGATAAAAATTCTATATTCTACATGTGTGTATAATATCTTTTTGTTTCTTCAAGATCTTCATTTAAGTAGCTGAAATCTAGGCATGGCATTAAAAGAAAAATTTGATTAGGAAAAAGCTGTTGTATCTTTGGTTCTGACTTTTAATACTTATACCTATAATCCTTCTTATGTTAGGCTGGAATGCTGGTTATAAAAGTACCCAAGTACTAAGTAATGAGAACAACTATTGTTTATAATAGTTGATGACAACCGATCACTTTAACAGGAATAGATTATATTCAGTATAAATGAAGTTGTCATTTTGTTTACTTTTATTTTGATTCAAATAGTCATCTTTAATGAGCTAATGTTAATTTGACAGTGATTCTATTTTAAAGATTGTCCTATTTTCAATAAAATAGTACCAGTCCAATTATTTATTAGTGTTTGCTTTCCATCTCAATGCTCTATTCCACAAAATTCCTATATACAGCTATAATGATTGTATTTTAACTATGTTGTATATCTATGGAAGACAGTGTCAATACTAAATATTGTAGTAAGCTATTTCATATATCTATATCCTATAAGATATATCTATATCTTATAAACATCTGGTATAGACTAGGAAGTAGTCCTTAAAATAAAGGTAAAATGAGGACTAGAAAATGAAACCTGTTTTGTAAAGCTATAAGATCTATAATTTTCATAACAACACACCTTTAATGAAACATTTTTGCCAAATGTCACATCTCCAGAAACTGTGAGGTGATCCAATTCAAGCATATCTGGTATACTTTCAAATCTCCTTAGATAATCCTGAACCTGAAAGAAAAATAGAAATGTATAAATTGTTTCAAATATGGGTTAGGGATTAAATTAACTGAACTGTAAAAACAATTGTTTATGGCCAAGCTCAGGCCCTCTATTGGAAGAACCTATTTGTTAAGCACTCACCATATGTTCCTGTGCAGGAGAGACCAAGGGATAAGAACATTGCCCCTACCCTCAAACAATTTACAACACAGCTGAGCAGATCAGACATTAGAAAAATAAAAAGATAACCAACAAACATGCTAAGAACCAGATGAGTAGTTCAGATAGTCTGGAAAAAGAGAGATCATGGTCTGAAGCAAACCAGATTGGAGCCTGGATTTAGGGTTGGGTAGGATTCAGAAGAAATGGAAGAGCAACTGCACAAATTATCACTGTTTTTGCTTCCTATTTCCTCATATTTACATGCACTGGAAATAATCCTGTATGGCCTTGTTTCTTATTTTGATGAGAAAAACAGAAGCAATCAGAAAATTTCCACTGGCTTCTACCATCACTGCTACCACTGCTGCTATCACACCACCCCTCCTTTGCCCCCTCACCCATTACTCTGTCCCTCCTAGTATTGAGGTCGGACTGTTTCTACTCCAATATAAGACCAACCCTTATGGCCTATTCAAGAATACTGTCCAGCAATTCTTTCTTCCTCTCCAGTGGTTTTCCCCTATTGATTGCATCAGTTCACATCAATTTATAGACATGTTATAAATGTTCCCATCTTTACAAAACAAAACAGCCCAGCTGGTGTGGACTGAGCATTGTCCCATGGACTGAGAAGTCCTGGTTCGATTCCCAGTCCAGGCACATGCCCGGTTGTGGGCTCCATCCCCGGTGGGGGTTGTGCAAGAGGCAGCCAATCAATGTTTCTCTCTCATATCTATGTTTCTATCTCTCTCTAAAAAAATTCAATAAAAACAAACTTTTCATCTTATATCCCTTTCTATCTATGGCTCCATTTTTGTTTTGTTTTTTAAGGCAAAATTCTTGAATTCATATCTCCAATTTCCTTTCCCTTAGTCTCTCTTAAATCCATTCCAGTCAGGCTCCAGAACCTCTATACTGATCAATCTAATAGTGAATTCTCATTCATCTTACTTGATTCAGCAGTAGCACTTGACAAAGATGGTAACTTTCTCTTTTCTTCATTTGGCTTTCAGGACATACAACATTCATAATTCCTTACCTGCAACTCCATAGTCAACTTTGCTGCTTCCTCCATCTCATCCCCATCGTCTAAGCCTTGGAGTACCTCAGGGCTTAGTTCTTGGATCACCCACTTCCAACATCCACTCACTCTCTAGGCATCCTTATCTTATGGCTTTAAATACGTACCAGCTATAAAATGACAACTTTAAAGTTTACCTGTCTCTTCTAGATCTCTCTTCTGAGCTCTAGACTTATACATTCAGCTACTCTACTTGAAGGTTGAATAAGCACGGTATCTCTAAAATTTACTGCTCATCCTGCTACCCACTAAACCTACTCTACCCAAGCTTTTCCCCCGTCTAAGTAAATGGTAAGTCCATGCTTCCACTTGCACAGGCCAAAAACCCTGGAGTCATCCTTACTCTGTTCAGGTTTACTCTCCTACAGGTACAACTTTCAGTATATCTCAGAATGTCAACATTTTTCACTATTTCCACTGCTACTATTTCCTTTTGCCAGGATTCCTGCAACAACCCATTCCCCAGTCTCTCTGATTCTACCACTGCTCCCT